ATCCTGCTTCCGTCAGGCGCATAGGAAGCAGTCATTTTGGTTTGAGGTTTGCTACTTAGACAAGCCGTTTCTATGTAAAACTCGAGTCTAACGCTTCATTCACTAGTTCTGCTTCTATGCGACCGTATTCCATAGAGACAATCATGGTCGGGTGTGGAGTGTACATGTGCAGAATCTGTAAACTTTCCTCCTCACCGAAATCTTGAAAGGTGACCGAGCCTGATTTTTCTAGGTATGGTGAAATGTGCGATGTAGAACATTCGTAGGTCATCTTCACAGACACCCGCACCTAGTTTTTGGCGAAGGTGAGGTTTGCTACTTGGTGAATAAGATTTTTTCAGGTCGGCACAGATTCGTGTAATTGGACCGATCGACGATAATGGAGCAAGCCTAATTCGCGCCTTCTTATAAAACTCCAAGAAAAAATTGCGGTTGACGAAATGGAGGGTTTGGATTGCACGAAAAAAAAATTGGTGACCTGAGGTATCGACAAATCGATACTTTTTTTTGATAAAAGAAATTTTACAAGATGACATTTATAAGAATTTAATCCCTATTGGAAAAATTTTTATTTGCCTGATTCCCATTTTTTCAACACTTTGCTCCTTCAAGACACAATAAGAATGCAACAAAATGCTTGGTGTTTCACAGCTCTTACTGCTTTCCTTCAAAAAAAGAAGTGCAAAGATTTTCGACCATGTTCTTACAAGAATGAGGTTAAAGATGCAACTTCAAGTACGTTGAAATGTCTGAATTTACACCTTTGGATTAGGAATGGAGTAAATGAAAATGACCCAAGGATTTCGCCAAGTGCAATCGTTCTGGGGCACGTGTAGTGAAGTAGTTAAAGGTAACTCAAATTACACGCGTAGTCGTTGGCTCGATGCCACCTCTTTAATAGACCAAATCCTCCATTCCTTCAGTATCGAAAGGCCGGTGCCATAATTTCCTGGGAGGGTAAAGGTACTGACATGGTAGACCGCCACAATTTGTATGTGCCAGATATGCATTCTGTCGCCTCCGCCGCGCTTGAATTAAGCGGAATTCATACATTTCAAGGAGATTTATTAACCTTGAACTTTTTTTAAGCTTTGTGGCAATTCTGTCTATAACCCGTCGTTATTCTCGCTCACAAACTATAAGCTCTCAACTTGATCGACTGTTGCCATCAGTGTTGACACGAACCGTGTCTTCCATATACGGTCACTATACAGACTGCCACGCCCATTCCAATAGCCATGTCCAGTCCAATAGCCACGCCCTGGTTTTTCGCTCCGCCCATTTCGGTCGAACAGCAAGTTTTCCATTCTGTTGGGCCATTTCTATTCTTAGAATTCAGTTCCTAGACCACTAAGAGCCTTTTGTCGATACGTCAGTAATCGGTGTCTTATCCTGACATGCTACATGCTGGCTACCTCACCAGTAGGTAGTTACAATGATTGTACTGCTGTTTCTGTTATATCGACCGGCTATAACTGTAGTAGTCAAATTTCCACCAATAATCGAAGATTCATGTCATCTGAAACCACCTCAATGCAATTTAATTTGTACGAATGGTTATCAACGAGAAGGTAGAAGCGGCTGTGCCTGTGCCTGTGCCGTAGATCCATGCCAGGTTTATTCATTAATTTGTTTTGTTTTTATAGCCGTTTTTGTAACAGCCATTAAAATCGTCTGCAAATTGTCTCTGAGAGGGTAGAGAGGATTTGACAGATGTGAAGAAAATGTGAATGGTGAGTGGTGAGCAGTACATGGAAGTACTCTATGGCAACTTAACTGCGAAAATTTGGTCGATGAACTTCAACTACATTCTCTATGGGATCTCTGAGAAGAGCAAAACTACAGAAAAAAATTACCAAGAATATCTTTAGAACCACTCAATGAATTCCTGTCATTTTTCGTTGGATCTCGAAAAGTAAGTTTTTAGCTTTTCTTTTTTGTCCTCCGCTTCATCCGATTTCGGTGAACATTCATCGTCTTACAGGAAGAAGGTATACTTTCCTTCCACTACAGTTCTAGCTGAGTAAATTTAAGCAAATTGGATTTTGCTTTTTTATAGAGTATAATGCCTACTTTTTAAATAGCTGCTTATTGTCCCAAAAATCATATTACTGGCTAAATATAATAATAAAGCAAGAAAGAGGAAAGAGACTATGTTGTCACGAATTCACTGTTTCTCTTGATGTTCAAAGACGAGGTTGGCATTACATATATTTGTTTACTAATAGTAATAACAATTCTAATAATTACTGTCATTTACTAATATAGAATAGCTGAATTTCAGCGGTTTAGAGCTTGAAAGGGTCAAATCGACAATTTACTCAGCCAAACACTTTCATAAACTCAGCAGACGAAGCTTAACACATAAATTTCTATTCACCTAATAAAGAGCTTTTCTTAAACAGCCACCGTTTTGTTATTTGCAAGTCCTCCAGATATTTCGCGGAGACCAGTCGCGCAGAGTATTGAGTATATACAGAGTATAGTCGCGCAGAGTATACATGGACGAGGATTGTGCTTGGCTTAGGCCAAAAAATCAACCTAGCCTGATGTTCGGCTATCCTACCCTTTATTTCCAAACGAAATAAGTGCGGTCACAAAACGTTACTTAAGAAGGGCTGGCCCAGAGAATTCGGCGACAGTGATCTAAATGCCATCAGACACTCTAAGACGCAAGTTAGTTCGTAACCGCCTTGTATGATCGTCTATACGCAACGAAAATCTGCATAATATGATCTAACGGTAGAGATGGTGATCGCATGAGTACGGGTGCGGTGTACCTAATCTCTTGCAGAGCATGTAGGACGAATACGTTGGCGGAACGGGTAGACCGCACTGCATCCGCTTAAAACGACACCTAGTGGGCAAATCTAATTGAAACCGAACACTCCACTAGGTGCGCATAGGACGCAGAAACATATTGGACAAGGTTTTGAAGTAATAGTCACTATCTTCACACAGTAATCGAAAAAATCAGCAACTAAAACTCTTAAAGCGTTTTGGAACAACTCCACAAATCCAGAAATGAACCGCAAGGGGGAGGTCTTGTCATAGTGTGTGATCTCTCCCCAAGTCTCGGATCGATTTTTTCATCTGGGCAACGCACATTCCTCGCCCATGTAGGACGCTTTCTGGCTGGTCTACACCAAATATCTATAAAACCTACGAGCAGCAAAGCGGTGATTGTTTAAAGGAAGCTATTTATTATGGGAAAGGATTTTTAAGTGAGTTTAGTTTTGCCTGCTTAGGTTATTCAAGTGTTTGGATGAGTAGACTGCTTGTCGATTTGACCTATCCAGACTCTGAAAAAGGCGAAGTGGCCGAATCGTCAGCTACTTCGTTTTGATTAATTCTGCACTACCAATTCGTGTTTATCCATCCGGAAAAACAGTAAACAATTAATCAATGCCGAGGTTAAAAGAAAGTTGATCTTAGGATATGTCGTCATTATCTTGTTGACTTTAAATCTGTGGGAGAAAAAGCTCTAAAAGCGAAACTTTGCTTCCTTAGGCCTTCACTTACTTAACAGTGACTAATGATGATTATCTTTATAGTCCAAATTCTGTGCCATTGGCGAATATTGCTTGGTGTCTGGCGGAGTGGCAAGGTGCTTGCAGAACTTTGGTAGGTTTAAATTTCTGTTCTAGTTTAATCTAGAAGTCTAATCTAGATAATCTAGAAGAGCTTTATGTTTACCCTTTTTCTTCTTTTCTTCGGTTCTCTTACACGTTTGATAGAAAGTTGAGCTGTGTTCATAAACCAGCAAGCGGTTCTTCGAAAATCTTCATCTCTTTGTCTGTTTTCATCCTTTCTTCATCCACTTGTTAGAAACAAGAGCTTAGTTGTGGATGAAATATGTCATAATCAACGAAACAAATGAAATCGGAAAAGATCTGACAGTATGTCGAACTGCTGTCTTATTTCTACTTTTCCTGTTATAGCTTTTTTTTAACGATTATCACCGCTGCCTAAAAGGTTTGTTCTATTTGGCTTGCTGCTAAATGAATTAGCAGCCTTAATGGGAAAAGCAAATTGAGTGTTTCAGTGATGGTTCACGATGATTTTTCTCCTCATAAGTGTTTTATGGATAAAAACTGTAAATGGAAAAACAGAATTATAGCATTGTAGGGTTTAAAGTAGTCATTGCCTACGAAATTAGAAGGCTATCCGGTTAGGTGATAGTGATCATTGGATGGACTAGTTGTTCCAGAGTTACTGAACGCTCCATCCTTTCGAGGTTGCCAGATTGGCGCTAGACCTATCTGAAAGGATAGAGTGCTGAGACTACACATCAGCAAGTTCTCATAAGTCATTTTGTGGGCTTAATTTGTATTTAACTGTCTATACAACACATACTTCCTAACACTTTATCGCCTAATCGTGGCTGAGAGGTGTTCCTGGGTGTCGGGCTGTAATGTACAGCGAAGAGATTCAACCCTTCGGCAGCGTCTCCCAAGCTGAAAAGGAATCCAGCGTTTCCATCAGGAAACCCAGCTAAATGTAAACCAATACCAATATCCACCACCGTCGTGGTATCAAACTAGTCGCGTGGTGGCAAATCTCTCTCTGATCCACAAGGACCGCGTCTACCTGTGGTGGTGACGAACTGGGGCAGACTTTGGTCAGGCTGACCTCGGAACTCTAGAGAAACACAGTGGTTAACATAGGAAAACTCCGAAAAATAGAAATTTTGATGGGAGCAGTAAGGACGGGCCTTCCAAGTATCCGAGTATACGATACATAATAGGGTCGCGTGTAGCGCAGTCGTGGGATGCACCCTGCAATACACAAGGAATCGTTCCCCGCGCCCAGGTTCACCAAGCCTTAGATCCATCCGAAGTCAGCAAATTCGCACCAGACTTGTCTGGAAGGGTAGTAGCACTGGCTTCATACAACATTAGACCACCGCGAGTCATTGTGAAGGCCAAATCTGCATTCACTTACCACCAACGATGCTTAATGAGGATTTGGTTGATCGGTAGGCTATCGCCAGTCACTGTATGGGGCAGGCGTGCATTCAGTCATCTCTAACGATGCCTGGTGAAGCCGAATGCATAGTGCATCTCTCATGGTTTGATCAACACCAAGAGCTTTATCCGTTTTTATTCATAATGCACAATGGAGTAGAAGGCACAGTGTTTTTTGGTCCGATGTCTTTAATATAGTTAGTCATAAATAATGAAGTATTTGTTCAAAAAATGCAAATTAAACGATAACTTCATTCATCTAGGCGTTCAGCGTCCAGATTGCCCACGAGTGATTGTTGGCGGAGTTTGTGAGTTCAATTGTGACAAGGACAGCGATTGTCCGGGTACGTAAAACAAGCAAGCGCTTTCACTTTGACTTTTTTTCTATTCGCTAAGTAGTTTTGTGATGTCTTCTAGCAGCACAAATCTGCTGCTCGAATGGTTGTGGACGTGAATGTGTGTTTCCACTAACGATGAACTACTCTCTGAATGTGAATAATGCCATACAACCAGTAAACGGTAAGAAGATGTTCTTTCTTCAATATATTTTGAACTCTTCTCCGGTTTTCTGTGTTTTCTTCAATGCATACATTTTGTGTTATTTATTCCTGCTATCGTATTTACGGCTTGATTTCCTAGTAATTTATTTTCTTTCCTTTCTTTCTACACACCTTCCTTGTATTCCTTCACCAATTCATTTTCATCCACCACGTTCGCCACTTGTTTCCTTCCTTTTTCATTTTCTTGCTTATCTTTTTCGTTACCGTTACATCTTTGTTTTTCAAATATTTCTTCTTCCTACCTGTTTTCCGCCTCTTCGTTTTAATTCTACTCTCACAATTGTTCTAAGCGTTTCTTCAGGATTCCAATTTACGCCTTTAGTTCTACTCCACATTGATTTAATTTATATTTTTAGCCATGTTTTCTTCACTTACTTTTATTTTCTCTTGCAGGATTTGATTCATTATAAGCTGATTCACATCCATATTCAGTTCTCCCAATGCTTCATCACGTAGTAACTGTCGTCGGCTTCCAACCTACTCAAAGTGCAATCATCAAAGCCGTAACCAACACGACCAGCCTACCAGTTTTCTTAAGTAGTGGTTCGTTACATGCGTACAGAAAGTACTTTACGAAAAGGGCATCTTTTTTTGTAGACAAATCCAGCCCATTCACTATGAACTCGGCCCGAAATGTGAAAGTAGGTCGGTGTCCGCCGAACGGAGATGAAAGACCGTGTAATAGTAAGCGCAATTAAATTCGTTTCCTCTACACTTTTATTTGTTCTTTCTTCTTTTATTCACAGCTTAAAATCGTTGTACAATTTTTTTGCAGCGTACCTAAAATGTTCACACGACGGAAACTGTGCTAATGTGGAAAAGTGTTGTACGAATGCATGTGGCAAAGTTTGCGTTGATCCAACGACGGTAACAAGTACGACAAATTTTCAAAAGCTCTTTTCAATAGAAGAGCGAACAGCTCTTTGTTCTACGATTCTTTTCTCAAAATAAAAAAATAAAAAGATAAAGCGTTCGGCGTTGATCAGTCTCCTATGCATGCGCAATGCTCTCAGCTCCACTATCTAGCGTGGCGGTGATTGAAAGCATGTTTGGTCCATGTAATGCTTACGAAGGACTACCGATTTGTCAGCTCGGATTTCTTATCCTCTCAGACTAATCTGGGGCAGCATTCCACCGACCCGGAAGAATGGAGGGCTCATTTTTGCTCGGGAAGTGTGATTGATCCACAAACCAGTTGTATATTGCAAGGCACATCTAACTGCGGTGCATAACTCTATCTAAGCGTATAATTAAATACATGACACAAAAATGGAGTACTACTAAATGATGAACATAATAGGAAAAAGTTAGTGGGAAATAAAACTAGTATGAATGACGAGCTTATTCTCGTCAAAAATTAACCGCTAGCGGTAACCTCACAAATATGCAAAAGTTTTTCGAAATGATTCAAGTAGTAGTTGTCTACTTCTTTTGAAAAGGTTTGTCTCTTCTTGCCTCTCTTCTTATGCATTCTATCAAATATGTATTACACACTGTGGATATCAAGAAGCATCCAACGAATGAAGTTAAAAAAAAAGAACCTGAGAGACTCGTTCAGTTTTTTCTTCCCATTAAATTTGAATTGAAGATGTCATCTCTCCGGGTTTTTTGCTCCGTAGTTGAGATGTCATGCGAAAGACTCTACTTTAGGAATGGAGCTGTTATTTTTGCAAACGAGCTTTTTAGTTCCCATAAAGATGGATTTGTTTATGCCAAACATACTTTTTGCATAACAGACTGCATTCACCTTTTCGTGGCCGTGAAGAAATTACCCAATAAGGCTCTGAAGAACAATTATGTCCCGAAATGTGACGAGCATGGAAAGGTAAATTCTCGTAAAAATTCATATTTGATATTTTTTCCACGTGCTTGAAGTGTAGTCTCTGAAATTCTTGGTTTGGCTGATTTTGTTTTTATCGATAGTTTGATCGGATCCAATGTGATCAACATCAATGCTGGTGTGTAGAAGTGAACGACGGCACGGAAATCGCTGGCTCAGCAGTGCCGATATCCATGAGACGAGCCGACATGTGTAGAGGTAAGTTTCTCATGGCTACTTTTTTTTGTCATGGTTACATTCATTGAACACCTTGAAAGCCTATATTACATTAAACGTCGTTGTGTGGTAGTTTTCGTTTATAGCTGTTTATTTTATGTTTCTTTGCTTTTTAATTTAATGCTATTTTTATTGTTTGTGCTATTTTGGTTCTCAATTTAGAAAGGATGTAATGAAAAGCAGCTTCCTCAAAAAAAAGGACGTTTTTGATAAAGTGGTTGAGATCTCTTTGTGAACACAGCCAGCTGTAAGAATCAGGGAATAGATTACACTTAGTTAAATGGTTAGAGCCGAAGAAGGAAGGACAGTTGGCCAAACGTGTTACGGTAAACGAGGAAGGGTCAGCTAATCTACCACGTGCGTTAAACGCGAAGTAAAGGTCAGCTTAATGACCACTAATAGATTCAGACTGGATGTAGCTGTGTATGCAAGCTCTTTTCCAGAAATAACTAATTCGTTTTCTATTCGCTTGAGAACTCAGTGCTCAGTTGCGCTTCAGTGAGGGTCAGCGGCGAAGTTAAGTATATGTGTCACAAATCATTTGTTATCCTACTGGAGTGCTCGTTCTCAATATTTGCACTTAATGCTGAGGTCAACGATGGATGCACTCACCAGTCATGGTAGTAAACACCATCACTGAAAGTTCAGTGATGGAATGGAAAACTTTTGGCGGATAGTCAATTTAGAAAAATGGGCTAAGTAAGCTGCAATTATGTAGAATTCTCTCCAATGAATTCATTCACCCTTGCATAGCTCACCCTTAGGAACCCTGTGTATCTCTCCATAGTCGGCACTACATAGTGACTTGTTTGGTCGGCCTATTTTTTATGACGTCCGAAGACAATTGTACTAGACTGTTCTTAGATTGTTAACATAGGTAGTAAACTGCATTTGTTTCGGACAAAGAAACATGCCCTCTCCTGTGCACAGAACGTCGGCACCTAGTTACATTCTTCTTCCTAGCTGGTGAAGCAGGTGTTCAGTCAATTTTCCTAGTTGCCGCTTTGGATGGTCTGAGGAAAAATATTACGAGAAAGGCAGTTACAGACCTGAAATTTAGCGAGTAACGTAGTTTCATTATTTTCATGGAATAATAGGATTCGATACCGTAAAAAGAGACAATCGTCGTACATTCCATTGTATTACGACTGACCAATATCCGCTAACATTTGAGAAAGCAATCACTCGCAGCTCAGTGATTTCTTGTTAGATGTTATGTATTTGCTCCTAGGATGATATCCATATCTCATCCTCTTTAATCTAACCGCTCATATTTGTTTTGCTGACTGTACTCAATCGGAACCGACCTTTCTAGACAATTCGTCATCAGTGAAGATTTGTCGGCATCATTTCCCAAGTGTTTCCGCGATCATGATTATTCACCGAAGCCTATTAGCCCTACCATGAAACCTTACGGGATGATCATAAAGATCTTGGGTCTTAGGTGTTGCTCTTCGTCAATCTTTTTTTTCTTGACGCTTTCAGCTTTAAAAGCGTTAATCATTGAGTGATTTCACTAAGCACCAGTGGAATTTTTATTCATCTCTGTCGGGAACGGAGCAGTACTGTCTCACGAGCTGTGTTCGCTTAGTAGATAGAAAGAACTCCTCATATGTGTGTTGCGCTCTTTTTTTCTCTTGTTTTAAGTGAGAAGGTAATTATCAATAGCCTATTAGCCCTATCATGAAATAGACTTACACAAAATGTGCTTCCGAATAGAATTACCTAGTTCTCTTTCTGCTTTGGCACTCACTCTGCTGCGACGAAAGCCCATGTGTGACACTTAGGAAATCCTCAACTGCAGTAAATCACTCAAATAGGGACTTTCCTTCTAAGTGATCAACTATCCAAAAATATGAGAAACTTTGCAAACTGCAAAAGAAAACGGTGTCTTTGAAAAATAAAGCTGATTGAGATTATTTGAATGCGAAGAGGGGACGGAACCAAATTAGAGAATAGAAGTATTACCAGAAATAAGAACGAGAACCTTATCTCTACTAGGGTTCCTTATAGAGTATTTGAGAAATCACCAACTGGAACACCAGGAATGTTTAAAGGAACGCTACAATTACTTTTACGTCATTCGGATAAACGTATTCTTGGTGTTGAGCATTTCTCATCAATGTTTCGAGAACTTGCTACGACGGATCTTTCTTTCGATCTCTATCGTTGCCTAGTCGCCCTCGGCTTTTGTTTGTTGAACGTCGTCAAACTTAGGCTTTGTACTGTGACACCTACGTTCGACAATAAACAGGAAGAGGATTGTATGATGAGAAGAGGAAACTGTTTAACTTCCGTCTTGGGTCTATTATGTTTTGGCAGAAATATAATAACAATATGAATCCCACGTTGTACACCGTGTATTGGATTGCTATGAAACCCATAGGTTATTAAAGGACGTTCTAATGAATTTATTGCAGAAATGATGCTGGGTGTTCTTATGAATAACCTCTGATATCTAATCTCCTTTTCAATGCGCGATGGAGCTAGTTTCAAAAGCCCTTCAAGTCAAGTTTCATGAAAAGGGAATAGTGGATTTCCAGAGAAGAAGTGCTTGTTGGAATCAGAAAAGCAAGACATATTAAATAAAGAAATAAATAAAAAAAAGAGTGAGGGAATGAAAAAAGAATTCAGAACGAATGCCAGAAAGAACTATTAAAGGATACTGGAAGACTCATAGAAAGCGGCTCTGAGGAAGGCGAAATCCGCCGAAACGTCAGCTTGTGCGTAAATGAAGAAATAAAATAGCACCTCGTGCTTGCTGAACAGAAGTAGAAAGATATATTAAAGGATATTAAACTTATAAAAAGTTTTTTCTCTAAATGTGACTGTTCCTTGTACCAATATTAATAAACACCGTACTTCAAAGCAAAGCCGAACTAATTTCATCCTTCTTCATTGTTGTTGGAACAGTTCAACGAAAATCCTAAAAATTGGCGCTTTTTTCAACTTGCAGAAGTTCGTCTTTGTGGGGTTAAGTGTTCAAAACAGTGCACATATGGATTAAAAATGTCCGTGTTTGGTTGTCCGGACCCTACATGTGAATGTCGAGATATCTGTGAAGGTGTACGGTAGGCCTATCAGATTCTATATTGACAAAACCCCTAACAAACACCGAGTTATGGTAGCTAGTTGTTTTTGCTATTTCAGCTGTAACAACGATGCCGACGTTTGTCAGCTCATCGAAGCCGACTGCGCTCGTCCTCCTTGCCTTCCAGTTCCGAAATGTAAGAAAAGCGTTTTAAACATAACATTCCACCACTATTTTACTAAAGCGCAGGTATCTAGAAAATTTTAGAAGTACGAAAATAAAAACTTAATTCATCAAAATTATATCAGAGTGGTATTAGTGAAACAGTGTGCAGAATATTACTTAATTACTCATTTATTCACTTGGATGGTACGTCTTTACTAGTTATCCAGGTTCCAGTAAAACTTATATTTGTTGGCTTAGCCATTTCAGTTTCTGAAAACCTAAAGTCAGCCTAGCCGAAGTGTTCCTAAGCTCATGCAGTCTAGGTCCTTTTGGATCAGAAGGAGATTTGCCGTCATGTGACTAGTTGGGTACCAGGACGGTGGTCATTCCTGGTATCGGCTTACTCTTAGCTCGGCTTCCTGATGGAAATGCCGTACTCCTCAACTTGGGAGGTCCTACTGCAGGAGGTAACTGCCCGCTCCACATTACAACCCGGCACGCAGAAATATTTTCCAGCCACGATTATACGCTGAACCGTTCGGAGGTTAGCGAAATCTTAAACATGGAAAGCCCTCGAAAACTGAAACGAATATTGAAAATGAGAAAGAAGTACACCAGAAGTTGCCTAGCTATGCGATATACAGCAGAGAAAAGTGGAAATGCCTCTGAAGATAAAGGATAAAAAGCTCTCAGCGTAGATCAATCCCTGAGGAATGCGCCATGCATTCGACTTCATTAGGTATCGTTGGAGGTGACTGTATGCATATCCGGCCTTTACAATGACTCGCGATGGCCTACCGATGTATTGAGAACCCTCTCAGACAACCCTCTCAGACAAGTCTGGTACCAATTTGCCAACCCTGGAGGGATTAGGGGTTTGGTGAGCCAGGGGCGCTAGGATCGATGCCATGTGTGTGTCGCAGGTCACCTCCGACTACTATGCCTCACGCGCCCCACCTCTGTGGATAAAGTACTTAACCATCAGCCAGAACTGCAACTACTGGAAATGCAAAATTTCCTAGTAATATTTACATGATGTATTTTGCACTATCATATTCATTCTAGAACCAAAATGATCTTTTGCAGATTTTCGTCAGAAAATGATCTCAGACAACCAATTTTAAATCATTGTTAGTCCAGCAAGAGAAAGCAATAGTGGTCATCGCTCTATAGTTTTTTAAAAATAATCAGACTCTTCGTAGTGAATCGGTGACTAATATATTTATAATCGTTAAATAGTGTGCAGAGGGAATTAACAAGCTTAATCAGTTTAAAAAATTAAAGTCAGAGCTTTTGACTCAATTTATCTTTCACATATAAAAATTCCAAATGGGATAAGTGCATTGTATCCGGTGTCTTGAATATCTCTGTTCTTGACAATTTCATCAAGGTAGAATTCTACTCACCGTTCAGGTCTTCTGAATCCATGTCCGACCAGCCATATCGTGTCACTTCCAAACGGCGTTACAGCACTCCGTTCTACATCCGTGCAATGTGGAAACGGTCATTGGTGTCATGAGGTTTATAAGCTATTAAATAGCCCAGCATTTGGAGAATTTATGTATTATTTATTTTAACGTTCATATCGTTTTCGAAATATCTCCGTTTGTTCGGTTTGATTGCTGTATTTTTGCAACATAGTTTTAACATTGGTGAAACTTAATTTCTCAGCGTCATTATCCTCTGGCTCGAAACACGCGGTTATTTCATTTCGATAAGACCATAAACTTAGCAATTAACCATCTTTTATGTCCTTTCATTACTTGGAAGAGAAAAAAAGTTGAGCTAGAAATTCGTTTGTATTTCTGCTGTTTTTTTTCTGGTTGTCACTGGGATGTTTTGTTGGAGCGTCAGCATTCATTCATTCATTCATTCATTCATTCATACCTATCGCGTCAATTACCGAGCGGGTAATTGACGGTTGGTCAATGATCCGGTCCTAGCACCACACTACATCACTCACATGAATTATTATTCACATCGGCGGTCAACTCTCTTAGGGACTCCCAACCCAGCAAACTTTGAGCAGACTGTTCTCGTATACGCGAAACGCGACTTGAACATGACGGATGAAAGCGGTGAAGTGCGTTAATGCACTGAGGGTTCTTTGGAGAAAACGAAAACCGTTCTAAGAAATTGAGTGAACAACGCAATGAATTGCTTATATTAGTGAGCATCACGCTTTCTCAAAGCTTGATTTTGAAAGGATTTTTCGCTTTTTGATGAGAATTTGGTGCTATACCATCTTGACCTCAAAGTTTTTGGATTTTTTCCTTGTTGTTGGAATTTGTAGGCATTCTTCTGTATAAAATAGCTCTGCCGCAGTCTTCGAAAGTTCTTGAAAGGTCCAATTTTTATACCTAGAACGTAGAAAATGTAAAAATCAATATCGCGATGGTAGAAAAATAAATCCGAAATAATCAGTTCTTTCAAGTTTTGTTACAGATAGAGGGTACATTGACTCGTATTCAGATCGGCTACAACGGCTACGGTTTCTGCTGTAGCGGTGCGGAGGCGCAGAAACGAGGCGCATGTCCGTCCGTGACAGCACTGAGGAACACCTCACGATGTTCATCTATATGCAGAATGGATGAAGATTGTGTCAACGGTAGCGAATGGACATCTTCTGTCACCTCATTACTCTTCACCCTATGTGTAAACCTGTAGCGAAGCTTGTGGTACCTGCACAACTATCAGCGGTTGACACGACTGTGTGACTCAACTATGTCATAGACTCCTTTAGACGAGCCTCAGACGAGCGAGGACATACCTCTATGAGAGTAATTTGCAAGAGGGCATTGTGGCCAGAGTGACCCCTATAGTGATCGTTTTCTCTTGGTGGTTTACTTTGGTCCACAGAACTTTTTGCTTACGATTTTTACTTAACGAGTATAGGTGTCTAGAAAGGCAATGCGCGATATATCTAATATCACCTTCAAGCGCATATGACAATATCTCTAAAGATTTCTACTTTCATATTTTTAAGGAATATGTTGCTTTGACGGTTGTGGATTGTCGTGTTTTTCATTAGATGTTCCTACGCATAAAGAGATGGATTCAAATAGAAGACTGCCTCACCAACCACGCGACATAGTGGCGAAACATAATAAAGGTGAAAAAATTAAAAAGATTATTCTTTCCCAACTGATATTTTCAAAGCTGGTTCCTGTCAGGATTCGACTTCCATCGTACTTCACGGGTTAAAATAGCCTTAGAAGCTAAGATTTTTTTTCGCTTTCATTTTTAATCAGGCAATACCTTTATTTTAAAATTGATGTACTGGAAATATTCCAAACCATCACAAATTCACAACAATCGGAAACATGCTCCGCCTCTATAAATAACTATCTGAAGAACAACGAAAAAAAAATTCAAGTGTACATCCAGAATGGATGAAATTACCACCAAGTTCGGCACAATGAAGGAGACTCATTTATTATACCAAGGATATAATAGAAGACCACAAAATTTCACGGTGTGGTTTTCTCAAGTCTTCTGATAAGTTCCTTAAGGCATCATTTCTTCTCATGTGGCCGATTGCCCTTCGTCTTTGGAGAGACCATTAATCGATAAGTCAACCGAGTGCAACTTAATGTGCGAGTTTGATAACGACTGTTCTGGGCTTAAACGGTGTTGCCGAGTCGGGTGCTCCGCTCAGTGTCTCTACCCGATCAGGACCACTCGTGAGTGGTGTTCATTTTCGATGTTATTTCTTCGAAAATCCATTGAAACTTCAGAGTTTTATCTGAGTTTATAACAAAATTTCGATGAGGATTTTTGTTCTCAGGTCAAAGAGGTATTTATATGGTTGAGATAGTGGAGAAATAAATACGGTCGTAATAGCCACCATCTAAAGATCCACTAAACTCCTATCTCAACATTTAAAAATCCCAAATATGGTCGTGTTCTTTTTGCACAATAGTTCTCTTCGACCAAGATGCCTATTTGGACACAATCTACACGGAACTTAAAAGTGTTTAGAATACTTTTTTTCATTGTAAATTAGCACATTTGGTGAATACTGAGTATTGTAAAAGTGCTCAAGTATTGCAAACTCAACCACTTCAATGTAATCACTTTTAATTTATTGGCTATCCTTTTTTCATGGCAGGGTACGATGTGCAATGTAACCACAATGATGCTGAGTTTTTTGCTGCGGTGGGGATCGAACACTATCACTTTTTCCTGGGGCTAATGCGTTCGGGAACCACATCATGCGAATCCTTCGTTTCGCCGTCCTCTCAGCCTTAGTCATTTCATTCCTGTTTTTGTCATTCATCAGCTGATGTCCTAGTGGAAAGTAAGTAAAAGTAAACCTTGAAATCGAAAGACAAGCTGACCTATGCTACGTATTTTGACATTTGTAGGCCTTCTATGTTTTCACTATAGTGCATTAATAGTTCTACCGTCGTTTTTCACTGGTCACTCATCCGCTTTTCAAATATTACAAATTGCAGTAACTCCCACGTCCGACTTTCTATTAACCTCGGCATTGATTAAATAATTCTCTCTGCTTCTGTTCAGCAAACACGAGGTGTTATTTTATTTTTTTATTTACGTATAAACTGACGTTTCGGCGAACTTCGCCTTCCTCAGAGCCGCTTTCTATGAGTCTTGCACTAAATGTGTTACGTGGAGACCAACCGCACAGAGTTCACACGGAATCGTATTGACGACAGCTTGTACGTAAACAAAGAAATAAAATAACACCTCGTGTTTGCTGAACAGAAGTAGAAAGAACTACAAATTGCGTCTTGGTTCGGGAACATATTGCTCGTCGTAACCAGACTTAATTGCACCCGACTTCAAATTTCGTGGTGGTCCTAGCATTTCTTTAATTCATTAATCAAATTATTATTATTTTATTTCGTCTAATTTCGTTCCCCAATCTCGCCGATTATCTTTTCAAGCATGTCTGAATGCTGCCTTAACAGCCGAGCTCTATGACATGCCGAGCATTAGGCGATGTGATCAAAATGGACAATTTGAGCAGATCCAGGCAAGTTTTTCTATATGTGTTAGTCATATTTCACCTGAAAGGTGGCATATAAAAGTAAAACATATAACTAGGAATAGACCTTAGAGTATTGATTAATCCTTTAGGAATAAGCTTTGGATTCGATTCCATAAAGCATCGTAGATGTGACAAAATGCGTTTCGGTCTTGTCAATAGTCGATTACGGGCACTCAGCGATATATTAGATCAACGCGTTCTTCCTCGAGAGAAGTATCACATCAATTTTTCCACTCTGGAGGGATTGAGAGCTTGACCCTGTCTGAGGAACGTTATCAAACTGATGAGTACGTGTGTAATGTAGCGTATCGCTATTCATACCTCTACATGGGGCTACCCAGGAAATACAAGCATGGTGAAAGGACCTTCTTTATGTTATTGTTCAAAGTTCGAAGAAGTTAGTTGTTTTAAAGGAAAATTTCTACAGTATTCATCATACGGTTTTTTCCAGTGCGATGATGGCGTTTGTTTCTGTGTGGATGTTACCAATGGTGAGGAGATTCCAGGCACCCGAACCGCCAATGACACTCCAAACTGCAAAGGTATGCAGGTAGATTTGTGCTTATATGAGAATCAAGTAGTGCTTTCTACACGTTTTAGTGCCATTTTTTAAAACGTTTTTCTACATTTAGACATTTGCGACGTAATATCATCATAGATCTACTCCAACTGCTTACCGATTTCATCTTCCGCGTTTATTGTTGACAAGGAGAAAAATTTCTTCTGTGTTATAAACTGGATTTTCTTCAAAAAGCTTACAAAGCTCTCACATATTTTTCTTATGATAAAGGAAATTGTTGAGGATCGAATTGAACTTGAAAGTATTCTATATTCGCTAATCAGCTGCGTAATCTGTAATTTCGAAAGTCATTAAGCAGATCGTGCTTACACAAATAAGCTAAATCTGTCATGAACCAGAATTGCCCATCGAATTTGATCGGCCGTGAAACATGGAGAACTTCACCTCCTTTACATCCTTTCGTTTGATATTAGTTTTTGTTTACTGCTCTATGCAAGAAAGGAGTAATAGATAACAGTCTTTGTTATGGTATTGATTTATTCCTAGAATGGCTTCGGGATGGGAGTGTGGAACGCTAACATTTTAGAACACTGCTTCGTAGACGAGACTCGCGCTTTACACAACAGTTGCATACTCAGGAACACCAGCAAGTCTCGATACGATGTATCGTTAGATTGATAACAATTAGTATATTGGAAAGCCTTGATTGTACATATGTTGGAGATTTCAAAATCATTGAGACTTTTGAGTATGAAAGTAATAGCTATTATGCAGGTTTTGCGTTTTGGGTACCTTAATTCCTTCAATTGATCTCTAAGCACTTTTGTAGGGCCAATAAGAGGCAGGTGTCCTGACATCGTTTGTCGAACGTCTTGTCCTTATGGAGTGGAACGCAACGAAAACGGTTGTTCGTCGTGTCGATGCAGAAATCCATGTGCTCCTGTAAGATCAGTTTTCACAACAGTTTTTTTTGTTTTGTGCTAATAGACCGGAAAAAGCATTGCAGGTGAGGTGTCCTCAAGGCAGCCTTTGCATCATGACGGCAGTAAATTGCTTCGAAATGGACAACTGTCCACCCCAACCAAGATGTTCGTCTAACATTATTTACAAAAATCTAACGTTTATAATGCATTTGAATTTCAGTAACATATCTAATCAGGGATATGATATATTACATTAGTGTGTTGTTTTGGAATTTCACTTCTCTAGGCATTTTAAATCTTTGCCCTCATGGAGAACCATTTGTTTCTCAATTGGGAGTAGTGGAGACATGTAACTCAAACGAACAATGCCCGCCTGGACACTGGTGTCATCAGGTGTGTACATGGTTCGCTTTTATACGCCTTCTTTTTCTTCATACAATTTTTCTATCAGATCAAGCTAATTGTGCTCATAGGTGAGTAGTTTGACATTCGTTTTGACTGTGTGGACTGTTAATTTTCTTGTGTTAACATTTACATAAAAGGACATAGGATGCAGCGTTTGTCAACCACTAGCTGCCCCATGCTGAATTCGTATCTGCTCTACATGGTGACTGGCTGGCTTTCGCAGATACGTCAACTGAGAACTTTTATCCTCCTAAGCAAGTCTTATGCTAATTGTTGGCCCAGAAAGCATGGAGAGTTCATTTTGTCGGGGACGATGGATCGAACTAACGACCATCCGTATGCATGACAGCTCTAATCGCAAGTATACGCAAAGATCTAACATATGCTTCACGAAAATTACAAAACTGTACTTATAATGCCAACTTATTGATTTGCTGCCTATTACTATTTTTCGCGGAGGGGTATTATGCGAAATACAACCACAATGATGTTGAACTAGCTGAGAGACAGGCGAAACGAAGGACCCGCATGGTGTGGTGGTGAACGCGTTACTCCCCGGAAAGGAAAATAGCGCGTTCGTTCCTCACCGAGTGTTGAAAGGCTTGGTGAGCCGGGGACCTTGGATCTATCCCAAGTGCACTACAAAGCTCGCCCAACCCCTAAGCTATGCGCGCTCCCTGGACGGAGTATAGTAATTATAAATTACAGTAAATCATGATTAAATATGTAATATGTCTTTGAAAAGTAGTTGTGAATTCTGCTTCTGCTTCTGTTTCAGCTTTTCTTCGTCTTTCTTCGTCTTTCTTCGTCGTTCAATCGACGCACTACTCGTGAAAAATTCTACACGATAGGCTCAAGCTATTATATCTTTAGATCGGATTCTCCTCATCGGGGCTCTGCTGTCCATCTCCTCTTCGACTGATGCACATTGGCACATGCCCTTTGTCGCTTCCACAACTTGACCAAGTCAGTGATTGTCGCTTCGACTGCCGAGCCGATGACGACTGCAATATCGGTGAAAAGTGCTGCTATGATGGTTGTGGTCTTCGGTGCAAAGGTACATTGGGTAATACCACTTATGCATTTCTCGCTTATAATAATAAAAAGAAGAAAGATTTTTGGAAAGCAATCATGAAAATCGAATCGAAAATTTTGTTCAAGTCAAAGTACAGCTCTTTTTTAAAATATTGCTTAAGAACGTCGTAGCTTCTATAACCGCATGGATGCTGAAATATGAGCAAAACTCGGAACCCGCTTGGACTTCGGTCCCACTATTTCCCTTAACGGTGGCCCATGTGCTATCCTCCGAAACAGTCAAGAACACTGTTTTGCCTTTCTCTCGGCCAGTTTTTTACTTTATCAGTGCTATGAACTAAGTCCCCTTAATGAAAACGTTGTTGTGTTACGAATCGTACGCTGCCATGAAAAAAGAACACGCAGTAGATAAAAGTCAAAACATTAATAGTTTCTAGTTTCGATAAGTGGGATTGATAGGCGAGGGTTATAAAGTGAAGTAACTAAAAAATTGGTTAACAAAGGTTTTGCACTGAAGAAAGATTATTCTCGTTCGTTGAGAACTGAGACTTCATTGTTTCATTTTTGTTCTTAACGTTTCTTCTACACCTTTCTTGCAGAAGTTTTCGTTTTCTTAACCTTTTTATTTACTGCCTATTCTTTTTAATGGCACGGTATGTTGCGAAATATAACTCGTATAATGCTGAGATATTTGCAAAACGCTGGACCGCAGGTGTCTATGGTGGAGAATCGCGTTGACGGGTGATTGCTGATGGCAAAAGATCGATAGAACTAGCTGAGAGACAGGCGAAACGAAGGCCTCGCATGGTGTGGTGGTGAACGCGTTACTTCCGGAAAGGACAATAGCGCGTTCGTTCTCCACCATAGACATCTGCGGCTCGGAGTTTTGCAAATATCTCAGCATTATACGAGTTTTCGTTTTCGTTCGTTCCTTATAATTTTCATTGTTTTCTTGCAAATTGCTCCCGATAGCGACAGCTTTTATGCTTCCTCGTGATTTTCGATACTTTTTTTTCCAAAAAGGAACGATTTACTAATCGCATTCTCAACGTTTTGGGTATTATTACTGGCATGAGGAAGACAAATAGATAGAGAGTTATAGTTTCATGTTTATTAAACGACACTATTACCGCCTCATCGTGGCTGGGAGGTGCTTTTGGGTATCGAGCTACGAGGTACAGCGGTGGGATTCGTGCTTCAGCAGGATTTTCCAAGCTAAGAAGGGCCCAATCGTTTCCATCAGGAAGCCCAGCTAGCAGTAAACTAATGTCAGGATCCACCGCCGTCCTGAGATGAAGCTATTCGCTTGGTGGCAAATCTGGCTCTGATCCACAAGGGCGACGACTACCTGTGGTGGTGACGACTTAGGGCAAACTTTCGCCAGGCTATCCTCGGCACTCCAGGAAACCACATTGGCTAAACCAGCAGGTCTCCGGGGAATGAAAATTGTGCTGAGGCGGGCACAACCAGTGAAGATAGGCCATTCAAGTATCCGAGTAAGTAACTAAGCCAAATGCTTTTTTCAATCTCACCTGTTGATTTCTATTGTGAATATGATGAGCGTCTAATAGTGACAAAATCTTGAAGTCGAACTGTGCTATGGACTAAGGCTTTGGTGGAAGTCTTTGTTTTCCAGAAGTCAGAGCGTCTAGCGGTGGCCTCAGTGGAATTGGTAAGCCAAATGTGACAAAACCGGGTATGTGTCCATTCTTCGACGAAAGAACCTGCAGCAAGAAACCGTAAGAGATTTTTCTTTAACTGAGACACCTTTTAAACATTTTGTACGTACCATTATGCACTGCTAAATCCTGTCAAACTCGTCTTACTTATCTTCTATTGGTGTTTTTCAAGTGTACGGTCGACTTCGTGTGCGCATGCGATTATGAAAAACTGGGCAAGCCTGACAGAACTAAGCAATTGAGGATGAAACTGGTTAACCATACTTGCGCCTCTACCATGTTATTTTGTTTGAGATCTTCCTCATGTTCGCTCTCTTCTCAGAGAGACTTTAGAGAATTTCACGATCAAACTTATAGTCTATTATAATCACATCCAATAGAAGTAGTGCTAGACTATGAGAAGGCGAAATGGCTATCCAGTGTTCTGTTTTCCAAGTCGGTGTCGAATATAATGGTTGAATTACAATAATCATTCCATTAGATAGCCTTTAAATTGTTCATGAAGCCTTTGATTTTATTGGAGCGATGTATTGTCAGCACCTTAGTGCAGAGCGAGAAAAATTTGGTACAGTAGGTCCAACAAACTTTGTAAAAGTTTCTTGTGGCTTTCTGTGATGTTTACATGAAATATTTAGCTATAAAAATCAGTGTAGCTGGGACAGCGAATGTGATGGGGTTCAGAAATGTTGTTCTGATGGTTGTGGACTGAAATGTTTGCACCCGGAGGAAAATAGTGTTTGTCTTCATATGAAAGAGGCACTGCAAATGATTGGTCAGGCTGCCAGGATTCAGTGTAGAGCAGGTATGACACAATTTTTACCATATTGTGATTTGTTGATACGACTATTATACTTCTGCGACATTTCTTATTTCTTCTATACTATCCGGAATTTCGGGAGAGTAGTTTCGTAATTGCTACATCAACTTCAAGCACAGATATCCGATCTTCTGATGAAAAATTTTCTAGAAGAAATGACGTCACTTTAGATGGCTCTTTCGAGGAAATTCAGTGTGATGCTGATTACTGTTGGTGCGTGAATGAGACCGGCCTAGAAGTGGAGGGAACACGGTCGTCCGGGGATACTCTGCCGAACTGCCGAGGTTGGTGAAGATGACTGGCATTGATTAAAGGTGCTTTCCTAACATATAATTTTTCGATGACAGTTGAAGAAAGAACTATTTTCTTCCAAGACCAAAAATAACGGTATTTTTACACATCTCTAACTTCTAGCCAAATACTACTTTATTAGTTGTAAATTCTTTATTGTTCGTATTTTGTCATTTGTCATAAATTTTCTGCTTTTGTTACCCAAGCACACAGAAGTGACTGATGAATTTTTCATCAGTTATCACACTAACTGGAAAACTGTGAAATCAAGGAAACTCTTAGGCCATTTTTGCTAAAAAAGGACCACTGCACTTTATGATAACTAATGCTGTTCAAAGATTGCTTGGAACGAATATTTGAGAGGAAACTTCTATCGTTCTTTTCCAGCACCTCGAAAATGCCAAATCCCTTCATGTAGTTATGATATTTCGTGTAAATTCGGCATGAAGAAGGATTCTAACGGTTGTGACACTTGCGAATGTAGTAGTCCATGTGATGTAAGTGGTTCCCTTAATTCTTTTTTATTATTTTTATTTATTATGCAGAATGTCTTTCATATACACGTTAGGGAAAAATCCGTTTTCTTAAGCGGGTCGTCTGTCCAGCTTCCTCCGTTTGTGTGCCAATGGAAGTAGCCTGCATCGTTAGACCCTGTGCTGAGGTGGTAGTTTATAAGAAAAATTTTCTATTTCTCAGAAACCTTTTACGACTTGAGGCCAGTCAAGTTTACCTTTGACGGCTACCGTTCGTAACAGCTAACCAATGGTACTGGTGGTATTATTCGACTACAATTTTCCTCCTTTTGCTTTTCTTTCTATGCCATTAATGGCTCTTTTTGTTCTAACGTATGTAGATGATATTGATCTGTTTAATGCAGCTTTAAATCCACGCAAAAAATTCTCAAACCCTAGCCACTAATTTATGGTTGGTATGAATATATCGACGCACTGATCATGTTCTTATTCACAGCCTCTTTCGATTTGTGGACAGCTTCTCCAAGAAAACATAAACAGTTTCTTTTTGGGCAAGATGTTTAAAAGGCATAATTTACAAAACTACGATAAAACTATCTGTAAATGTCACCATAGGTGCCAAGATGCGTAGTGAATCCGTGTCTTCTCGCGTCGCCATTACTAAACAAATCTACTGCGCAGTTTATCAAATGCGCTACGAACGAAGATTGTAGTGGTATGTTCAATAGTTTCATCAATTATGATGGTCCTAATTTAGAATAAAACTTATATTTATCCAAGCGTTATCCAGAAATATTTTAGAGCCAAATATAACTGCATACTGCACCCACTACAAAAGTGATGGCGGAGTTTGCTGTCCAGGACGCGGTATGTCACAGTCGTTAAGAATGCATAACTTTGCGAGTTGTTTTTGAAAAATCCTCTAGTATCAAGATGTATGGTTTTCCGGCCTAGATTTTTAAACATTCCTGTATCAGCAATCTTTTCTCTAACTGTCTCTTGCCTTTTCACGTGAGAGTTTGGGCCGCTAAATATCTCTGTTTTATAATATCTTTATCCTTGTCTTAATCTTGGCCTCGTTTTCACTTTTCTTCATCTTTGAACTAAGTGTTTACTTTATTCAGATAATTATAACGGAAATTTCCCCAACGGTTTACCACCTCATCGTGGCTGGGAGGTGTTCCTGGGGGTCGGACTGCGAAGTACAGCGAAGGGATTCGTTCCCGCGGCAGGGTCTCCCAAGCTAAGAAGGAGTCCGGTGTTTCCATCAGGACGCCTAGTTAGGAGTAAACCATTGCCAGGCTCTACCACCGTCCTGGTATCATTGCCGCGTGGTGACAAATCTCCCTCTGATCCACAAATGCTGCGGTTGACTGCGATGGTGAAAACCTGGGGCACAGTTTGGCCAGGTTGGCCTTGGGATTCCAGGGAACAACAATGGTTTAACCAGCAAATCTCCATGAATAGCGATTATGCTGGGGCTCGCATAGTCAGTGAGGACGGGCCGTTCAAGTATCAAGTTAGTAAGTATAACGGGAATCTCCTTTTCACTAATTAAGTATATTTCAAATTTATTTCCTAAATAAGATACCGTTTCGAGTTCAGTTTGCATTTCTTCCAAACTTATGCCGCTTCCACGTCTCACCTCATTTAGAACCTCATTGGTCTCCTGGCACTTGTCCACCATCGCCATCGTCAAACGGTGACTGCTCTCGTCATTGTGTTCTGGATGCACAATGTCCATCAGGACAAAAGTGTTGCTTTAACGGATGTGGATTGTCTTGCGTGGTTGCTGGTGAATCAGAACTTCAGATTCGGAAACCATGACTTAATATACGAAAACCCTTACATCATACTTTACTGTTGTTTTTTCGAAATTTTTTCCTGTCAAGACTTCTTCACTGGTCAAATTTGAAAAAAGTAGTAAACCAGTACTTATTTTTGTAAGAACGCAGTTAATCTATGCGGTGACGTTTAGAAAATGTAGAATAAAAGGGTGCAAGATTTTTTATTTGTAGTTTTCTGGAACTTTCAACGCGTTAAGTTTGAACTGTGGCACTCATTAGGTACTCCATATCGAGGATGTTTTTTCAGTCAAAAATTTCAAATGGTTCATTTATTAAGTCAAAAGACCGACTTTCTATAAACGTCCGCATAAATAGTTGATATGTTTATTTATATGTTCTTATGAACTGGTCTTGTTGAGCTGAGACGCGGTTGGTAAAAGTTGTCGTCGTCGTTGTTGTTGTTGCTGTTGTTGTCGTTGTCGCTGTCGCTGTCGCTGTTGCAGTCTTATCGTTGTCGTTGCCGCTGGTGTTATTGGCCGATGGCTAACGTTTCGACGATTTTGTTTTCATTTCGATTTCGGCTCTGCTGAAAGCGAAATCGCCAAAACGTCAACCATCGGCCAATAACACCAACGGCAACGACAACAACATCAACAACAGCAGCAGCAACAACAACAACAACGAAAAATTATGACAACCTCGTGTCAACTCAACGAGATCAGATGTTAAAAACATATAAATAAACTTCATTTATGATTGCAGCATTCGCCGCTCCTCCTCCTCCTACTGTGCACATTGGGGAATGCCTTAATGTTAAGCCTCTGGGAGCATTTTGCCTCCAAAGGTACGCTGCCGTTTCTCACTTATAGATTATTTTAAAGTGATTTACTAGAATTGAAGCATTCTTAGTAAAATATCTCATTACTGCGATACTAAGACAAATTTTGAAAATAGTTAATGAAGTTAACAACAAAGAAACAAAGTTATAAACTCTTCTTTAGGACTAAAGAATCCGAGTGTTTTGTGGATGCTGACTGTCCAACGCTGAGAAAATGTTGCAGTGACGGTTGTACACAACGATGCACCGTTCCATATGTCACAACTCATTGTAAGATCCTGCGTAGTTCTAACTATTGAAATCTCTTGTATTACTTCTACAACTTAATCCACGACACTATTCACTGATCCTTTTTGAGTATCTTTGTCTTAAAAGTGACTAATGCGGCCTCCGCTCGTTAGAGAGACTCCGAAAACCTCATACCGGTTGGCATGGTGCTTCTTATTTCCATTCTTAGAAGGGATGGAACCAATTATTAGTGGCTCGCTTGCTTCTTCGGTGGAATAGGCTTACTAAATACTAGCTGGGTCTTTTGGGCGCAATGTGGAACTTTACATCGCATTTTATTATCCATAAAATCTCCTTTTTACTGTTACACAGATTTGGTGATTTACAGGAAGAATTTCTCTTTGATGATCGGACTATAAGACGCCAGCTAGTTCGCAACCGCCTATTTGAGCGTCTATGTATAACGAAAAACTGCATAATTTGCCCTAACGGTAGAGACGGTGATTGCATGAGTTCGGGACAGTCTATCCGATCTCTCGTAAAGCGCACGGGGACGAATAAGTTGGCCAAACGGGTAGACCACTCTGCGTCCGCATAAAACATCTATTCGGTAAATCTAAATTAAAGCCAAATGCTCCTCTAGGCGCGCATAGGATGCAGGAACACAACAGAGAAAATTTTCAAGTAGGAGTCAGTATCCTCACGCAGGAATCGAAAACATAGGCGCGTAATACTTTTGAAGCGTTTTGGATCAATTCCAAAAATCCAAATAACGGACCGCAAGGAGTGTCTTGTCATCACGCGTGACCTGGCGTCATACCTCAGGCTAATCTAGTGACCTGACACAGACGCAGTCATCGCCCATGTATTACTCTGTACGGCCGCTATCCATCAACTAACTTAAATACTTACAACAAATAAACGGTGGGTGTTTAAATGAAGCTGTTTCTTATGCGTATACAAATTTTTTTGTTAAGTTTCATCTGTTGAGGTTATGAAAGTGTTTGGGTGGGTAGATCGCATCTCAACTTTACCTTTCCAGGCTCAGAAGAAAGCGAAACAGCCGAAGCGTCAGCTATTGTACCCTAATAAATTCTGTAATAACAACCTCGTGTCTGCTTTTTGAAGAAAAACATCGAATTATCAATCAATGCCGGGGTTAAAAGAAAGTCGGTCATGGAAATACTTTATCTAGTTATTTTCCTCTGACAATTGTAAAGAATTAAGAAGTTAATTTTTACGATTATTACATCGTTTCCACATGCCTAGACGGTCAGAGAAGTCTTGTAAGCTACTTTCCAGGTATTCATGCTCATCTGGCGGCTCTGGCAATTCGTGATTCCGACAGCAGTGTTTTCGTGCCAGAATGCGATTCGTACGGTGAATATGTTCAGATTCAAAGCCATTCTGGTCTAAGGTGGTGTGTCGATAAAATTGGACGCGAAATTCTTGGTAAGGAAGTGAGCGTCATGATTTACTGTACTATCATTTTCAATCTAGTATTCAAAATATCTAAAATTGTCTTACCGTTACTTTGGTAAAAGTGCTTGCGAGAGGAGAAACTGATAGATGTTGCCGATCACGTCAGAAATTAATCGTATCTGCCCCATATATCAACGCGAAAGGGACTACTATGATTGGTTTACTAAACACTGCGCTTCCGGCGGATGGAGGCGTGGAACGCCTTTTCGGCGTGGTTTCTTCCCGTGAAGTTGAAAATCCATCTATGCATTGCAGCTAGACAGGCAAGTACACCTGCAGCTGCTAGCATCTAGTGAAACATACTGATGATATAAATGAACTGTTACTAAGTATTATTGCTATTATAATATTATTGCCAGAACCTAATCAATGCTATTAATATTATCTCTATTGTTATGATGTTGCTATTTAATGATTAATAGTATTATTGTTAACTATTAATATTATCAAAAGGGCGCATGTGGCGCAGTGGTAGGAGGCACCACTGAGACACACACGTGGAATCGATCCCTGCACCCATGGTCCACCAAGCCTTCCATCCCTCCAGGGTCGTCAAATTGGTACCAGACTTGTTTAGGAGGAAAGCAGCACTGCCTCGATACATCGGTTGACCACCGCGAGTCATTGTAAAGGCCAGATATACATTCAATCACCCCCAACGACACTTAATGATGTCGAATGCATGGCGCATCCCTCAGGGATGGATCAACGCCAAGAGCTTTAACCTTTACCCTTTATTAATATTATCATTATTTTAACCTTTTTTATTTACTGGATATTCTTTTTAATGGCAGGCTATGTTGCGAAATATAACTTCTATAATGCTGAGATATTTGCAAAACTCCGGACCGCAGACGTGTGCGGTGGGGAACGAAAGCGCTATTGTCCTTTCCGGGGAGTAACGCGTTCACCACCACACTATGCGGGTCCTTCGTTTCGCGTGTCTCGCCTGGTCCGGAGCTTTGCAAATACTTCAGCATTATAGAATTTATATTTCGTAACATAGCCTGCCGTGAAAAAGAATAGGCAGTAAATAGAAAAGGTTAAGATTGTGATTATAACTGTAGCCTCAGCTTAACTGGGTTCAGTGCTGATTTTGACTCTCCAGGTCAATCCCGTTGACGGGTGGTATTACTATTATGGCAAAAGATCGATAGAATTACCTGAGAGACAGGCGGAACCAAGGACCCTCATGGTGTGGTGGTGAACGCGTTTCTCTCCGGAGAGGACAATAGCTCGTTCGTTCTCCACCGCAGACACCTGCGGTCAGGAGTTTTGCAAATATCTCAGCATTATAAAAATATCATCATTGTTATTATTGTTGAATAGAAATTTAGATTTGACATTTTGTTTATATTTTAAGTCTAAGACTAATTTTAAATTGTTGACTTTAGAAATTTTAAATCTAATTAACTTACAACCCTCCAGTTTACTGGCTCATCGTGGCTGGAACATGTTCCTGGATGTCAGGCAACGATGTACAGCGGGGAATTCGTACCCCTAGCAGTGTCTCACAAGTTGAAACCGAGTCCGACGTTTCAACGAGCAAGTCCAGTTAAGAGTAAACCAACACCAGTATCAACCACCGTCCTGGTATGAAACCAGTTGCATGGTGGCAAGCCTAAAGTCTAGTCTAAATTATGCTGAGGCTCGCACAACTAGTGAAGACGGGTCATCTGAGTACTCGAGTATTCAAGTAACTAATTTACAAGACCGACTTTCTACTAACATCGGTAGTTATCCAATTAATTCACTTTTTTCTACGATGATCAAACATGAGGTTGTTATTTTCCTCTTTACTCACACAAAAGGTGACGTTCCAGCGGATATCACCCTGTTCAAACCCTGGCAAGCAAACGTCCACTGCAATACAGTTAAACAACCACCTCAGTAACCTCAATATAAAATTCACGAAGCCTATATTTCTATCTCACTGGAATCAAAATAGCTTCTTCGCAGACTCACCACTCTCTATGGGTCTCCCGCTAAGTGTTCCACGTAAAGATCAACCGCACACAGCTTAAATGGAAAACTAATGTCTTTTCCTCACATTCAAATACAGTCCTAAATTCTGTGTGAGTCTAAGCGTGATCACCTGGCGTTCCTCCCTGCAGTCCATTTTTAGATCACTGGAATATTCATTCTAGATAAATTAAATCTGAATGAATTGTGGGAATCCAAAAGTAAACCTCAGAGGGAAATGCCTCGTGGTTTCACAAAATGTTTAAGACTGACATTTCAATATGAGAGACGTAGATTGCGCTTTCATGGAAAACTCTATGCGGTCCGTTTCCACTTGAAATACTCAGTCGGAGACTCCTAGAAGGCGGTGAGTGTGTGAAGAAGCTATTTTATTGCTAAAACGATTGGAGTTTAGGGTTCATAATTTTTTTGCCAAAGTTATTGAGGTGTTTAGATGACTGGATTGAAGTCGATTAGACCTTTCTGGGATCTGGAGAAAACGAAATCTGCCGAAACGCCAATTTTTTATGAGTGGAGAGGTGGTTAACAACCCGCTATTTGCTTATCATAGAAAAAAGTTAATTAAATAATGTGCGGCAGAAGATCTTGTGCCGGTCTAAACGTATTCTATGAATCCTGACCCGAAAGTATTCTTATATTTATTTACTCGGATACTTGAACAGCCCGTCCTCACTGGTTGTGCGAGCCTCAGAATAATCTCAATTTTTCGTAATTTTGCTGCTTTGGCCATTGTTTTCCCCTAGAGTTCTGAGGTCACCCTGGCCAAAGTCTACCTCCAGCACAGGCAGTCGACAGGTTTGTGGATCAGAGGGAGATTTGCGGCCATATAACTAGTTTGATATCAGGACGGCGGTGTATCCTTGTATCGGCATACTCTTTGCCGGGCTTCCTGGTGAAAACGTCGGTCTCTTCTCAGCTTGGGAGACCCTGCCGGCAGGATAAATCCTCCCGCTGTACATCGCCGCCCGACACCCCAGGAACACGTGCCATCCATGATGAAACGGCAAACCGTTGGGAGTTTTTTTCATAACTGCTTTTTAAACTTTAGGTGGAACCTTATTTCGGTTACTGTGGTCGTCACAATGATGAGCTTTTTTCTATCTTTTCAGGTACTAAATCTACTCACCAACCTAACTGTGCTATGCCGCGATCTTGTCCAGTACGAGCTTGCGGCAAATATTGTTCTCTTGGGTGAGAGAGCTTTATAATCACATTTATATTACTACTATGGCACGATTAGGGCGGCAGTGGCGCAATAGTGAGTGATGCCATCGATCATGAAGCAAAAGCGCTGGGTCGTTCCCTCCTCAACGTTTTCCTCCAGTCATTGTGGGAGCGCCCTGGTTAGGCTATCTCCAAGATTGCGAGGACAATCGACTCGACTAGCAGTCTACGACGTTTTCAAGGAAGACGAAATCCTCAAGCAGCAGCCGAAACAGCATGCGAAATGCTCGAAGAGCTTTGTTTACGATGAATGCGTGGAAAAGTGATTCGAACACAAGAAGTGCTGAGTTAGATATGATGACGAGTCGTGTAAAGTAACAAAAAATGAGAACTGTATTTTGATCTCGATATCTTTCTAGTATAGAAATTTAGCTTGATTCGTTAAGATTTCGTACTGACAAGGATGGTTGCCCCTTATGCGATTGTATTGCACCATGTGAAAAATTCCGATGTAATGCCGGATTCGTCTGTAGGGTAGTGAAAGTGCAATGCTACAGCAAAGATTGTCCTCCGATTCCCAGATGTAAGTTGAATTCACTGGTTGAAATTCCTTACACTGTCGTGCAACTGGCTTGTTTCACAGAGTGACAGTCTTTTTGTAAGGATAGTTTACGAAATATACTTCCAAGGTATTCCAAATACGTGTCCGTCGCATGAACCACTGATACATTGGGCAGACCAGGAAGCAAAGCACTTGGTGCAATGCAATGAGCAGACATCGTGTCCGGCTGGATATTTTTGCAACTGGAATGGCTATGAAGGAAGGAGTTTTTGTTGTCGCGATGTTGGTGAGTTATCGGAAACTCATTAATGAAAGATCAACGACAGTAACACGTTTTTATCTACACTTTGACTTTTGAAGTGAAGTGAAACCTTAACTCAAAGCATTTTTCAGCAGTAACTGTTTCTCAGTTTAAAAAGATAAAATACAAGAAAGGAGCTCGATCTATTTTTGGCTTGTTTTCCTTTCACGTAGATTTCCCATAGTGGAGCTTCCAGATCAGCAAGCGCTATCGATAACCTGTCCACCCACACCACTAACCACCGGCGCAATTGACTCATCCACGTGTGTCGTCTCATGTCGTCGTTCTAACGATTGTAGACATTCCGTGTGCTGTTTTAATGGATGTGGAATGAGCTGTCAGTTTGAAACAGGTTGCTGTAAAAAAGTGTTCTATTACGAATGGAACTTTTCAGCTTTATCTTTCAGTCCCAGCCGTTTAATTCAAAGACTACTGATTCGTCGAGGAGTGACATAGAGGCAAATGAAACGATTATGAAAACCTTTCTTATTAGCGGTAGTAGAGCATTCATTCTACCGTTTCGTCCAATAATGACGAAAAAGTCAACCAATGAAGACCTTTCTGTACAAGTTGTTACAATCTATAGGGCTTTGGCTCAGTCTTCGGCACAAATTACCAACTCAAAATAGAATGCTCGACTTTGTACGACTTTACCAAGCGGGATTTTTTGATGTAGGACAGCCTTAACTTGAGCTATTACTGCTTTTAACAATAGCAACAATCTAATAGTAAAATATGACAATGGCTAGTGGAGCGAACGGGTACTAGCGAAATTGAGTTAAAACGAGTGAAAAACTTGAAGGAAGCTGGGCAAAGCAATGAAACACTGCAGTTGAGACAATGGGACCTGGAATGTTGGGACAATGAGACATCGTAATGCGGAGACACTATTCGAGCGACTAATAGTGCTAATGCTAATATAATAGTTCTTTACATTCCTTTCTAAATTATAAAGGGCGCGGGCACCCCTAAGGGATTGATCAACGCCGAAAACTTTATTCTTTGATCCTTTTATATTCCTTTAGTTATAGGTGTGGCTCTGACAGAGAGAACTAGAGACGGTGCTTAGAGAGGGGTTATAAAACTTTTTTGGCTAGTACAATCTGAAAGAGCTACATGAGCATACGTGAAGATTATGCAATAGCTTATAAAGAAAATACATGTGAAAGCGCGCAATTGTTCTTACCGAAAGTTCATCGAAAAAGTGACAGAAAGGTTTATGCAGAAAGCTCATTTTGAAGTGACGGAATAGGTTGTACAAGCGCTTGAACAGTAAATATATGTGGAAACAGCAGAAAGACGTAAACAGAGTGCTCATGTGGAAGTGGTACAAAGCGTAAAAGACAAGGATAAATGTGGCCAGCAGAAAGCGTTTCCAATATGGGAGACGCACGATTACAAAATAATATAAAGATTAGGAACTATTTAGAGAATAGTTACTATGCTTTCAAGGGTTGTTCACAACAGTACAGACGAGAAGGGATTGTGACTGTTGCCGTTAATTATGATGTTATGTGCTTAAACAGACACTGTGAGACCTACTGAAGGAGTGTTTTCCAAAAATTTTATATAGCGGTTCAACTTTTATTAACTGCCAATTTTTTCATGACGGATTATTGTTTGAAACACAACTTCAAGAAAGCTGAAATATTGGCAAAACTGAGAACGTCACCTGCCCTTCGAAACCGCGATAACCCTTACCGGAGCTGCAGTGGATAACACGTGAGTCTCTCGAAAGCGTGGTCGTGGGTTCAAAGTGCACCAGATGTTTCGAGTTTTATATAAGCTGTTCACTTATTCGACTACAAACACCTACATCGTGGCAGCGATCACCTGTGGAGATTCATCTCGGAACAACGCGGGGGTTTTCAAGAAGGTAATGGCACCGAAACGTGGTAAATGTATGTGGTGAAGATCTGTGATGTCCTAGCACTAGAATTTCGAGAAGAATCGGCTCGATCAGCATTCAACGGCATTCATAAGGAAGACGAAGTTCGTAACTAGGCAACAGAATGCCACTCAAAAATTGAATTCCTTTATGCAATACGGGTGCGGGGAAATGAGTCGATTTCAAAAAGTGCTGAGATCCATACCCCTTGTGATGTAAGGTAAGGCGACATAACTGGGTAAAATGTATATTCGCTGACATTATAGATGCAGCACAATTTTTGTTGCTAGACCTTACAATAAAACTGTTCGAAATGTCGACATCTCAGAAACGTTTGCCTTATGAAACAGTAGTAGAACTAAAATGGAGGTCGTAATTTATTTTAGAAAAGTTTGTTTGAACTGCCATAACGAAGGCTTATTTTTTAGACCATCTCAGAGTCAGTACTAGGATGTACACTGTTTTCCAGCAAAATTTCTTGCGATCACTTTTCCGTCTGCATCAGCCCGAATACAACCAAGTTACGTCCGACCTACACTAAGCATACAACCTATTCATCCTGTTGATTCAAAAAAGGAGGCCGGTTCTGTAGATGATGAGCTTTTCCGGATCGCTGTCAACCGTCACCCTTCTCGAAGTCTTTACAAGTCGCTTAAGGTTGTGGCTTTTGACTCATCACCATCTCACCATCTCAAGTCGTCAGCTCCTTAAATTTCAGAAAACTGCAGTCGCTCCCGTCTTCGCAGTCGTTTCGCCAGCAACATATGGTTTAAGCAAACCTGGTTTGTTCGTTTTTTTTCTAAGTATTAATGCTTGTTATATGGCACAAGGAGATTTGTTTACCATCTAATACCGAAACTCTTATTCACTGTGCAAATGTGACGGTTCTCATTAAACGAACCACAGCGTTTTTTGGTTTTGATTTTGAGAAATGCACGTGGTCTTCTAATAATCATTTGATTTTGCCTTAAGTTGATGAATCTTTTAGAAATTCAGAATGTTATTTGGACCTACAGCGTTTTCAGGTCCTATTTTGACCTAATATTAGAGTTCTAAGCGCAGTTGTTAATGCAGAACCTAACAGAACGTTAATCTGGGAAATCTATTACCTTTTTAAACTTGTTAGGAAGAAACATTCACACGCGTTAGCTGGTATTTTCGTGGAAGTGGGCCTTTGTCACACCATATTGAACCATTTTTGAAGCATAAGAGTAGTCGCGAGGTTTTTTAAACAGCATACATTTACTTCCATAAAAACACAATACAATACAACGCTGGCTGACGTTTCGGCAGTATCGCCTTCTTCAGAGCCGCTTTTTCGTGACTTCCAATGAGGAAATTTAGAACAGCTGATTATAGTCGCATGTGGTTGACGACTGCCGAAACGTCAGCAAGCGTTGTATTGTATTGTGTCTTTCTATGGAAGTAAATGTATGCTGTATAACAACCTCGCGATTGCTGAACAAGAATACGACACATTCATATTCCAATGCCGAGGTTAATAGAAAGTCGATCCTGAGAACTATCATAGGAGTAGTGACCGGGTGTGACGGAGTTCTGAGAACGCTGTCACCGAGTTTTCGTAGAATGCTGAGATAGCAAGTAGGTGCGCGGAAATGGTCTTTGCTTGGTGTTTCATTAAATCCCTCTCCACTATCAAAAAGCGGAGATTAAGATTTGACATATTCGAAATGCTTCGAATCCACCAAGCTTTTTTGCTAAGAAGACACCCAGTGGAGTGATAATTAGCCAAGGGGAGGTCCATATGTAGTCTATAACTTGAGCGATAGCATGTCAATTTTGCATGCTGGTTAACTCTTTTTACCTGCCGGATATGTGAAATTCCAAGGTAGTACCAGATACGTAGTCGCTAGGCTTACCTGCTATTTATCTACAAACTTCAGCCATTGATTCGCCACTACAGAAGCGTTTTATTGATTGGTTCCGACTCGTTGTGGATTTCAGTACCACAAAAATAAACAGACAAAATCCACATCTAGGAAAAAAAAAGAAAAAACCCATCTATCAGTTGTTTTCCCGCACCAGAAGAGATTATATTCGTGCTGCAAGAACTACTCTATGTTTTCCATGACAACTATAGTTTTAACAGGAAGCTATTAACTTTCAGTGGTTTTGGCGACGACGTAGCCATGGTTGGCTGTCCAGGCTCCGCATTTGCATAGGTTTATTCTTAATAGGCCTGCTGTAGTGGAAGCCTTATACTTCTTTTCATCTTGGGTGAACCTTCTGGCGAAGAACACCTCGCTTCACATCACAGTTCGGAACCTAGGAACATTTCACATTTTCCACGGTAATAGAGGAGAACATGTAATTATTTTGGAAAGAAATTATAACGGTTTTTGTTAACTTACACGCATAACAGGAACTTAAAGAAGAATTTCAACCAGAGTGGGAATCATCACATTAGAACGCATTTCACTGTGGTAAAAAAAACATGAGCAATCGTGGTTAATTTAATAAATGAATCTTTTGAAAATACTAAGAGCTGAGAGCTTTGTACTCATGAAAACAAACTAAAGAAAGCCTGGTTTTTTTTTATAATTTCGAAACTTTTTCTTCAGATAAATTGCCTAGCAAAAGAACAACTTTTCTTATTTTAATACTCTCACCGTTCTTCAAAGTGTCCTGACAGTGCACATGCTCGAACAAACATCAGAATCCAGGCCTAATCAGAGCCCTCCTGGATGCAGGATGATCAGAAAAAGATGAATTTTAAAAATTTTACGATTAGAAGTAGTCTATTACACTTACCTTAAGGTCAAATAGCGGTCTTACAAAAGCTCGGCATGTGTCCGTCTATGGTACTGAATCCGGGATGCCAAGAAGAATGCTTGTCGGACGCCGAATGCTTGGCGTTTGCTAAATGTTGCAAAGCCACTTGTGGTAGCAAATGTATAGAACCAGCGGTATGATCACGTTAGAGTACCTTCTCCTATTCCTCGTGCTTACTTTATTTTCTACTTAATTAATTAATTAATTAATTAAATAACTTTCGCAGTCTCCATTTCTTTTAATAATTGCTGGCTTTTGGTGCTACTCCATTTGTACCTCCCATACACAACTATAGAAGGGTGCGGGTAGCGTAGTTATCAGAGGCGCCCTGCAACGCACATGGGATCGATCTCTGTGCCCAGACTGTCCAAGCCACCCGTCCATCCAGGGTTGGCAGCTTGTTACTAGACTTCTCTGGGAGGATACCAGAATTGGTTTTATACATCACTAGGCCATTGCGAGGGATTATGTAGGCTAGTTATGCATTCAATCACCTCTAAATTAATGAACTCAAATGCGTGAGGAGATGATCAACGCCGAGAACTTTTTTTAATAGATAACCACTGCATGTATGCATCGCCTAGCAGCTTTCGTTCGACAGCAGCCACATCTGCCACCGCCTGTACAATGTGAGGGAAACGGTGAATTTCGCGAAATACAATGCCATAGCCGAAAGAGGTTATTCTTGAATTTACTGCTGTACATAGTCATTTTCTTAGTCTTTCTTATTGCCTCTGTTTACTCTGCACTTTAACACCCAATCCTCCCAGAGGTTTACCGCGTCATCGTTGCTGGGAGTTGTCCATGGGTGTCTGACTGCGATGAACAACGAGGGCATTCGTGCCGCCGGCAGGGTCTCCCAAGCTGAGAAGGAGTCCGGCGTTTACATCAGGACGCCTAGTTAAGAGTAAACTATTACCGGGACCTACCATCGTCCCGGCATCAGAGTCGCGTGGTGACAAATCTCCCTCTTATCCACAAATGCTGCAACTGCCTGTGGTGGTGAAGACCTGGGGCAAACTTTGGCTGGGCTGACCTCGGGATTCCAGGAAACCACAATGGCTCTCCGAAAAGTGGTGATTATGCTAGCTTTCGCACAACCAGTAATGACGGGCTTTTCATGTACCAAGTAAGTGAGTATTTAACATCTAATCACTTTTGCCATTGGGTTAATTGGTATCCGAATCTACTTTTTTTAATAACTGGTGATATCTTGGTAATTTTTTAGATACTCAAGTGGTACTGCGTGCTAATGGTAAGAGCAAGTTCGCCACTACAAGCAGGCGCTCCTTGTTCCGGCTAGAAGATTGGTTACTTATAGTTAGAATTTAGAGGGGTCAAGCGATGTACATGATCCCCGAACAGCGATTGACCACTGCACCTAAGGCTAAGCAAGCCCACCCTCCTTCCGGGCAGCGAATTGGTTAAAAACTTGTTTAGGAGGACAGAGGCATTAAGTCAAATTGTAGGCCTTTGCAATCACTGTGTAGGCCAAATGTGCATTCATCTTTAAGTTGCTTAGTGGACGCAAAGGTATATCGTGCCCCTATGCGATTGACCAACCTTGTTTACATGGTTGCACTTCTGTGTTTTTACTATTTCAAAGTCTTTTCAGGCAATGCTGGTGCGTGGACAGTTCTGGAATTGAAGTACCCGGAACAAGGACGAATAGCGATCGAGGGATGCCTCACTGCAAACGTAAGACCTTTCTAGGGTTTGAAGAATTCTTTTTCCATCTGAGCAATTTATCCTTCAAATTGAAGAAATAGCCTGCCGAACTGGAGCGGATGAGGTAGGTCAAGGTTATCTGCCTAAACACTCAGAGATTTTAAAGCTGCTATACTGAACGAAGGGCCGATACACCATATAAAGGTGATGTGAAAAATCCGATTATTTGAGCACTGTATGCTACCAAATGCTGTGCACTTTCCACCTAAGAAGTCTCTATTTCTGTTCTTATTTCCTCTTTTCTCCTCCTTTATCTTTTTTATCGTGACTGTCATTTTCTTAATTTTTTATAGTTGACCAAACACACAACGAAATCTTAAATGGTTTTGCCGATCTCATAAACTGTTGAAAAACCTTCGTTACACTTAGATCCGAAAGTCTGTGGCGTCTCCTGTGCAAAGTCAAATTGTTCTCATGGGGTTCGTCTGGACACAAACGGTTGTCCTCGCAATGGTATCTGTCAGTGCAACAATCCATGCGAGGTATGCTTAATAGATCTGAGACCAAGAATCTCCAAACTATTAAACATTAAAAAAACAGTTCATACCGGCGCTGAGTTTTTTGATCCATATCTCACTCAAGGAAACGAAATTGCAAGTACTCTGAATTTTGTCGTTTTCTGATTTTATCTATGCTTTAGTTATGAATTTCTTATTAGCATGCTTCTTTTAGGATTTCTTTTGCCGATCACAGAAAATCTGTGTGCTGGTCTCAGTTCAGTGTGATCGCGATCCATGTCCGACGATACCGAAATGTAAACCATTTTGCTCTGTTGTTCTGTCCTTTCAAATAGAATTTCTTACTTGTCTAGTAATTGTGGGTTTCAATGAGATTGCTAAATATGGTACCTACCAGAATTCGGAACCTTGCAGAAATTTCCAGAGATTTATAAAACCGAGTATTCAAATGTGCCAGTTTTTTTTTGTTTTCTCTAAATCCTGTTGCGTTGGTGAAGCAGGGCGGTTTTTAATATCAGTCTTTACGCATTGCTTCGTTCAACTGATTTCCCACATTTGGCTACTTTACTCTTTTCTCGTTACCTTCTTTTCTTTCTCACGAGAGGTATACTTTGAGTGGTAAGGATTTAGGCTAATTGACTCAATGTTAAGGGATTTAATTCTAATGAGATACTAGGCTATATATTAACAAATCTGACTTATTCAATCTAACATTATAGGACTTTAATGAAGACATGGAAAGTGCAATGCATAGATAAACCATACAACAATACACACGTGATTGCTGCTTCTACCACGCTGCGAGCCAGCTAATTCTTCCGTAGTCCCAGATCCAAGAATTGCTCAGAATTGTCAATGAAAAGCTTCCAATTTGCAAAAACCTTCAATTTTCTTTAGTAAAAATTTGGTGAGCGTGTCCAAGGATTTCAGGTAGAATAAACTCAACCAGCACTCAACGATATTCATCAATAGGGCGCTGAGAGGAACCCATATGCCATTTCGATAAAACTTATTATATGACGAATGCGAGGTAACGAACCGAATGAAGGTGTTGGGATGAGCAGGGGTCAGCACAATATGTGGCTGGGCTATAGATGCTATAAAACGAGACCAGCAAAGTCTCTAATGATTTCGTCTAATTTGAGAACCTTATGAAAGAACTTTACGGAGAAAAGTCGATGGATAGGTACACTAGGTACCTTTGTAATTCCACATAAGGATGATTAATTTGAAACGTGGGTAAGTGGAATTTATCTACATTGGTGTCGTCCCTCTAGATAGCGGGAGCTTTAACAAACGACCCAATGGTCATTGCTCCATCGTTAGAATTGTGAAGAACTGAAGATATTCTTCGGTCTTAGGATTGTAGACGCTCGAAGCAGTAATGACTTTTAATAGCCTTTCAATCAAGGTGTCTCGATTCCGTGCCAGTTTAATCACGTCGTGCATGATATCCATGGCAACCCTTTATCCTGTCACCTGAGTACTTGTCCTCGTGGTGAGTGCGTGACGACGATTGGCGACGGCATTGGCGTGTGCTGTCAAACATTGGAAGTCACGATGCCGGCACATGTTATCTCTAAATCGTGTACGTTTTATGTTCTACATTTTTTACTGTTTTTATTTTCACAGAATTTTCTTATCTTTCTTTAAATGGTCCATATTTTGTTAGTTTTACTTATATAGAACTTTGCCTCTTTTTCGATGCGTGGTGTGTTGTCCATTTACAGTGTGTTAGAATGAACTGGGTACGGAAAAGATAGTTATGCACGGAAATTCCATAACCAATCGTGTCATTTTTGTGGCACTTCGGAAACTTCACTTTAGAATTAAAGGAAACTTCGGTAATAAAAGTTTTGCATTCCCTGTAGGAGAATCATTCAGGAAAATGTGAACTGCATGGGTAGCGGAGTTAAACCTGAATTTTAGAGAAATGGGGCATTAGGAATCTGAAGACTTTAATGAATATTCATTAGGAACAATTATAGACTGCACACTCTATCAAGCTGGAGTCGAAGAACTTCGCCGACAAGGAGTTGACAACGTCTTTCAACCGGCTTGTAATAACAGGACAGGTTAGGTGTGGGCTAACTTCTGTGGGGATATCGGCATACCCGTCCACAATTCTTGTATTGTCTGAAGTTCCACCTACTTACCGACGTATTCTTCAGAATATGACTTCTTCTTCCATAAACATTATGAAGATATTCATTCGAAAATTTAGACATTCGTAGACAAGTAATAGTTCTGGTGATTTTAAGGACTTTTTTCCCGGATTCAATGTGATGGGTCTGGAACATGTTGGTGTGTCGATGTCGAGAGTGGTCGACCGTTGTTAGGAACGCGTCGTTCAAATGCCATTGGTCAAAATATTTGCGAAGGTAACGTGACATTCCATGACGATCTACTAGTCAATTTATCAGTAATCAAGTTGAAAACTATTACTGCCTCTATTAAAATTATAAAAGGATGAACAGAGAATAAAACTCTCGGCGTCGATCAATCCCTTAGAGGTCGCCATGTATTCGACTTCTTTAATGATTGTTAGAGGTGAATTGATAAAAATCGGGCTAACACATTGGCTCACTGTGGGGCGATATAGCAAATAGGCACTGCTATTCTTCCAGACAGGTCTGGTACCAATTCACTGACTCCTAAGGAATGGAAGGCTTGGTGAGCCCTGGCCGTGGTATCGAACCCGTGTGTATCGCAGGGCGTCCCTAACCAGTGCAATACACCAGCTCTTATTCAAATCGCAGTTATTTATTATTGATCCGTACAAGTTTTTTTTAAGAAATGACCATCTTTCCGGCTAATCCTAGAATTTTTTCAGCACCTCGGGATTGTCTTCACCATTGTCCTCGATCACTTTGTCCATATGGATTGCTCTTGGATGATGATGGTTGTCCAATACTAGGATGTCCTTGTTCGTCGCCATGCGACAACATCACCTGTAGGCCAAACAAGGTTCAAGGAACTCTAACGTAATGGTCTAAAAATTTTCAAAATAATGCTGTAAGGGAAGGAGAGAGATTATAGTTCACAGTACTTTCGAACTACACTCACCGAACTTCTGAAGTCATTCCAAATAAAATGAAAAATTTTTCTTTAGGTGTGCTTGTTGAGAATTACGAAGTGTTCCACATCTAGCTGTCTAACAATGCCTGCATGTAAGTAGAAATATTTCTACCATCATTTTTACCCTTGTTTTGCTGTTTAGTAATTTGTAGCAACTTCGTGTAAGCTCAATAATATAGAAAGATATTGATTCACAATCTTAACCCTTTTATTTACTGCCCTTTCCTTTTTTATGGCAGGGTATCTTGCGAAATATAACTGGTATATAATGCTGAGATATTTGCAAAACTCCGGACCGCAGGTGTATGCGATGGAGAACGAACATGCGCTGTTATCCTTACCGGGGTGCAGCGCACTTCACCACCACACCATCCGGGTCCTTCGTTTTGCCTGTCTCTCAGCTAGTTCTATTGATCTTTTGCCATCAACAATCACCCGTCATTCCCCGGTAAGGACAATAGCGCGCGTTCGTTCCCGACCGCATTCACCTGCCGTCCGGAGTTTGGCAAATATCTCAGCATTATATACGAATATTGATTCAGTTTGCAAATTTTAAATAAAACTCTCGGATTTCCTAAGTATTCAGAGAGGAAATTTTTAGAGCCTGCTTCATTTTAAGAGTCCTCGAGAGTATGAATGAAAGGTTTAACGTTGTGATGACTTTATGAATAGTGTAGATTGTTGTATTCTGCACAACTACTCTAATTAAGTAGGAATCGCTTTCGTAGTAGTTAAACTTTTAAAATCTAACTTTGCTTTCATAATATTTCACGGTAATGCTTTTCTACCACTTTTTACCAATATTTTTTCAAACATCTTTAAAAAGCTTGCGCCATTCATCAGGCAGTGCAGTATTTGGTTCAAACATAGTTACAGAATGTACCATATTTTAATCTTAAACATGCAGGTGAAAAATCTCCATGCACCGGTGATGATCGGCCATTCGTTGACCCACGAACGAAGCGGCAGTCAAGTTGTGCAAAATCTGGCGAAGCTTGTCCAACAGGGTTCTACTGCGCGGACTTCGATACTAGCGGAATAGGTGTCTGTTGCCCGGAAAAAGGTAAGGATGAGGATATGATCGTGAAAATTACTCTCTCAATTTATTGTTTTTATTCAATAAGGCGTCAGATGATGTACATCGTGTTGTTTACCGCGTCGTCGTGGTTAGAGGTTGTTCCTAATTGTCGAAATGCTATGTAGGCTGTTGCGCATCATTCAGCGAGGTCACATAAATTGAGTTCAACATTCCCATGCGAGAGTATTTGTCAAGATGGTAAGCATATACCACGGTAAAATTGGGGCGGAACCCTCTGAGGGTACTGTTTTCACAAAAGGCAGTAGGAGAAGTGTGGTGGAATTTCCCACGAACAACTAGTGCTCACTGGTGAACTAGAGCATATGGCGTAATGGTGAACAAGATTTCAACTGTTGATGCACTTTTGAGATTTGGTGAAATTAGTAAAATATTACAATAAATCGGTAATGGGACTCTATTTCATTCTTAAGTATTTCGTTCATTGTATAATAAATGCAACGGAATAATACGCTCGGCGTGGACTAATGCTTTTGGGATAAAAAGGATAGAGCTCTCGGCGTAGGTCAATCGCTGAGGGATGCGCCATGCATTCAACTTCATTAAGCATCGTTGGACGTCATTGAATGCATATCTGGCCTTTGCAATGAGTCGCGGTGGTCTACCGATGCACCGAGCCAGTGCTGTCCTCCCAAACAAGTCTGGCACCAATTCGCCGACCGCGGTTGGATGGAGGCCTTGGTTGTCCATAGGCGCGGGATCGATTCCACTTGTGTCTTAGTGGTGCCTCCAACCACTGCGCTACACCTCACACGCTTTTGGGATATTCTATCTAATCCATTCCATTTAAGCATTGTTGAGATGATCGAATGCATAGTCGGCCTATACAATAGTTCGCCGTTTTTAGCGATTATCGAATTACCGTTTCTATTTTCCCAGACTGGTTTTGTTCCAATTTCCCGACATCGGAGGGATAGACGGATCGGTTTGCAAGAGGCGCGCTAGGGATCCATGCCACAACCAGTTGCACCGATGAGCGCTTCTAATTAGTGCGCTGTACGCGATCTATGTTATAATTTAATCATAAAATCATCGGCTTCTTTTCTAGCTTTACTATCCAGTAAGATCAAAACGCCATCATGTCCTCATGGTGATCCATTTGCGGCTTCATCTGATGGCACTCCGCTCACGTGTTCATCAGAAGTGGACAGGTATTCTGGTTGAAAATTTTGCACACTTTTTCCATCTGTCATATTACGTACTGGTTTTTATCGGCTGCAGATAAACATGAATTTGTGGTAAGGTAATGCTAACTTTGCTTTTGGTTATACCATTTTGATTTTTTTATCACATCACCTGACAATACATGCGCCACACTTTGCCGATCTCATTTGATACCTTTCTTCGCAACCATCATCCACAATGGTTTTCGAACTTTCTTGCGTGTGGCTTCGGCTACTGCTCGAAGTTTTTTTTGCCATGAGTGTCGTTGAATGCTGGTCGAGCCGACGCTTGTTGGAGTTTTGAGAAGAACGTTTTCGCGTGGATTAGAAGTGTTTAGCTAATACCAAGCAGGTATGGTACCAATTTTCTGATCACGGGCAATAAGGGGCTTGATAGAACAATTGCTGGTAGAACTAGCATCTTGTTGGATTAGGGCGCCCACGTGGTGAACAGGATCACAATCACTATGCCACCAGCACCAGCTTTTGACCAGACCAAAAAAAATTCTTTTGAGAAACATTTCGTATCCATTAGCTGTTTTACAAGCTGCTTGTGATAAATATCAATTTAGAGCTTATTTCTTGTTGTCTGCAAAGATTTTTATATTGATTTGTTCGTGTTGTTCTCCTCCGTGCTTTAATATCCACTTTATTGTCCCTTTCAGTTGCCCTTCTACCCACCACTGCGTTACGATGCGTGGCGAAAAAGTTGGAGTTTGTTGTGTTTCGAAAAGTAAGTCAGGTTTTGAATTTTTTGCACTTTCAAAAAAATTTCTGCGACACGGATGAATAAGAAAAGTGCTTTTTGAGCGGCGTCTTAGTAATCATTCGAAATAGTTGCTGTGAAGAACTGAATTATTGTGGGATGTGCTCGACAAGAATATACAAAAAAAACTGTGACATAAGTCCATCCCTACTCTTGCTTGCATTCTGGACATCGGGCGAGATTCATGCTCAGTGGTCGTTTCTCGGCTTTCCTATCCTTCGTCTATCACTCAGAGCTGCAAATCCTTCAGCTGTAGTGGTGGTGCGGGTTATATGAGTAATTTCCAAGCAAAGCAACATTGCGAAACTTTCTGTAAACGTGCGTTTATCTCTAGCATATCAGCTTGAAGAGATGAGCAGTTAATTCAAAAAGAAATTCTACGTACTTAACAACAGTATTCTCACATTGCTTGTCATTTTGCAATAATCGAGCTAGATGTTAAGGAGAACCTCCTTTGACATCACAATGCGCTCTTAATATCAGGTCTATCTTAATTTGATGATAGGCAGCATTTCTGTAACTTGAGATTATAAAATCTGTTCCTCACTAAACACCTCGAATAGTTTATGTTTGCTTCAGATGTCACTAATGAATCTCTACCGCCACTTCTCGATAAAATTGAAAATGCCATGGAAACCTACGAATTGGGTTTTGCTCTAACAGGTCCACAAATTCCAGTATCCGAACGGAAAAGAGCGCAAACGTTCGTTTATGTTAACATTTCAGTTTAATTTCGTATTCATTTTTTGTTTTGAAACGACGTCATCATTGACGGAGTCATTTCCGTTCGAGTCATAATTTTCTTCAAGTCATCCAAATTCTAACATATTTTTTTTTCTGGGTCAATAGGAGAGATTAAACACTGTTGAGACGTCCAGTGGTTGGCATCTGCAATAGCAGTATTAGTGGTCCCATCCACTTTTCCTTCTTTTTTCATGCATTTTTGATTCTTTCTTAAAGTTTGTGGTGATCGTAACTCATTCAATTAAGTCAGACAATCTCTTTATTCTCCGATATTCCTCCATAATGTTCTAATATACTTTAATTATTGTCACATTATTAAGCAATGATAATCCTTGCAACTTTTTGTCTGTTCTTCTCGCTTAAAAACTAACTTTCGTCAATGGTCGTTAACTTGTCAATTAAATTTCTACACGAATAAATTAAACTCTTAGGTTTAATAGACCTTAGGAACACTCAGCAATTTTATAGTTATCCTTCTATTTTTGACATGACCCATCGTCACATCCATAGTGCGGATCGCAGCAACTCTTGCATTCGATTCGTTTTCCTCGCATGCATCTTCCATAAAGGTCACTGAACATTTTTGTTGTGTTTGCGTCTGGTTTTTTTGCTGCTTGAGGATTTCATCTTCTTTCTAAATGTAGAATTAGGGTCGAGTCGATTCCTCTTGCAATCTTAGAGACAGCCGAGCTAAGGCTTTCCCACGAAGATTGGAGAAGAGCTTTCGGGATGGAATCGAACCAGAACCTTACTTCCTGATGGATTACATCGCTCCTTTTATCTCGCCGATTAAATTGATTATTTTGAAAATTGTTCAATTTTGGGAAGAAGCGGCAGGTAGCGCAGCGGTATTGCTACCGTTCACCACAGGAGCAATCATAGTGAGATCCCACACTAGGATCGCTAAGACCCTAATCCCTCCGGGGTAGAGAAATTGGTACCACACTTGTTTGTGCCTAAAAGATTTTCTTAAATCCACACAGAAGTACTGTAGCACAGGTATCCCAGTACTTAAGGAAGTACCCACTCTCACAACATCCAACGACGTTTGCGAAGGAGACAACAGTCCTCAAACAGCGTCTCACACGTTTTTTTTCTCAAACATTCACACGTTAAACGTTAGATGAGCTTCGCTGGTGACAGATGTGAATAAACGAATCTTATGCAACAGGCGTTGCGATCTACGCCGTAGATGTGAGGATGAGTCGTGTGGAATTTAAAAAAAAAACTATAAAAACAACCACAGTAGTACTGAGATATGAGCAAACTCGGAACCCGGATGAGCTTCGTACCTTCGATTACCCCTTACGGAGGTTCAGGTGTTATCCACTGCAACACCGGGGCCTTGATTTGCCTTTTTCACAACCAGTTTTTTGCCCTGAAGGCGCTATCAGCAATCACCGCATTGTATTAAGTTAAGCTGGAACTGCAATTGAAATCACAATGTTTAAGTTTTATTTCCTGGATATTAATAGGAAGTATATAGAAGCTGAGAATTGAAAAATTTCAACAGTTACAGTTTTCTTTTCATACGATTTTTTCAATAATCGGCTACATGAAGCATTTGAAAGTCGAAAATTTTTTGGCACTATTCAAGCAAAATTCATTTAGCAATTTTTTTTACTACTCTAGCGAAGTTTTAGCTATATCACACTGTGAAATATAACTTCAATGATGCTGAGATATTTGCAAAACTCCGGGCCGCAGGTGTATACGGTGTGGAACGAACGCGCTATTGTCCTTACCGGGTAGCAGCGCACTTCACCACCATACCATCCGCGTCCTTCGTTTTGTCTGTCTCTCAGTTTTGCCTGTCTCAATGATCGATAGAACTAGCTGAGAGACAGGCAAAACGAACGACCAGGGTGGTGTGGTGGTGAAGTGCGCAACTCCCCGGTAAGGACAATAGCGCGTTCGTTCCACACCGCATACACCTGCGGTCCGGAGTTTTGCAAATATCTCAGTATCATTGAAGTTATATTTCACAATGTATACCGTGCCGTTAAAAAGAATAGGCAGTAAATAATACGTTAAATTGTGATTATATCACGCTGCTCTATCATTTCTTTTTACTTGTTGGTGAAAGAAAATAACAAATTTGCCATTTTTCAGTGCTTTGAGTGAGTTTCTGTCCGAGCGCTTCACATTGCCGACATCATCCATTGATGATGTCATTATCATGCATGATAACACGGCTCGTTTCACCGTGAAACATCCACATGCAAGCGCCGTCGCAAAAAACATATCCGAAGCAGTACGTGATTTTTCAACGCATATGAAAGCAATTTTTTTGTGCCTGCAACTGCTTGGGGTTGTGCCTATTTTTCCCGCTACACGATCTGTGATGGGCGCATGTGGCGCAGTGGTCGAAGGTGCGCTGCAACAAACACCGCTAGGCCACCGCGCGTCAATGTAAAGGCCAGATATGCACCTCACCTATATGATAATCACCTATATGATATGATGATCCTAAGTTGATATGATGCACCTATATGATAATCACCTCCAACGATACTTAGTGAAGTTAAATGTATGGCGCATCCCTAAGCGATTGATCAACGACGAGAGCCTTATCCTTTTTTTCGTTCATGCGTTGTGTGAGATGGAAAACTCGTCCTAGGCAGAGTTTTTTTTACAAATTGTTAAGCGAAGAGCACTAGTTTTTCATGGAGCTGGCCAACTATCTGTGTTGAATAAGCTATCACGTGAAAAGCGAAATGTGTATGATAATCCGTGCCTGCGATCCACTCTGCCTACCAACCTTTGTATTAATATAAATGTGCGTAAACACTTATCTACTGAAAGTTTTTTCTTCGAGTTAGGTGTGTGGATATAACGGGTGTCTTGATAGTAACAGTTGATCTTTCTCTTAGATGACGATAGTTTGATAATCATGAAAGGCAAACACTGCATCGGTTGTTTTTCTAAGGTGTATTGAAGAACATTAGTGCTCACTGACTGCTTTGATCCTGATTCGAAAAATCCATTTTCAATTACCCTTGGTAGAGGACTCCGTCCTTTATACGAACTCATACACTATGGCCACGATGAATCCCTATCCTACAAAATTTATACGCTATTGTTTAACACCACTAATCTCTCTCATAGAAGTACCTCGAGCCGATCAGTAGCGAGGCCACGTGGCGCCTCCCCAGGTGCAGGATAGGGAGTTAATAGCGGGCCAAAAGCGACATTTGCTTCCCTGAGACCCAGATGTATCCACGGGATGGACTCCCTGTTTCTTCTGTGCCGATTTGGCGCATACCTTTTGTATTCACGAGAACATTTTCATGCATGCTTGCGTGGGTGTGTTTTCGTTTATGCGGATTGTATTCAGCGAGTAAATTCGGCAAGAAGTCAAGTGTCAGCCAATGCCAAAAGTCGACCTGCAGTCGAGTAACAGGAAAGTATAAAAAAGGAAGGTGGTTAGGTGCTGCCTCAGTTAATGAGCTTTCCGTATGCTCTGAAAGAGACTGGCAAGCTACCCATTAGCTTACCCAACCCCCAGGTCCGAAGCTCAGCAAACTATGTATGGGTAACAAATGGTAAACATAAAAAGATAGGTGGGCGTCGTTCTCCTGACCACGAAGGAACCGTGGTACGGCACCGTTGAATACGACGAGTACGGAAGGACTGCCTGAATCGCAAAGGACTAAGGTCACGATGTGTGCCTACAATGCGCGATCACTGGTGTCTGAATCCTCGAGGGAGGACTTGATTATGCAGGTCCGAATGTTAAGGTGCGACGTCATAGGCGACTGGTTGAGAAGAGAATACGCCAGCCATTCAACGCTGCATGTAATACCGGAAAAGAGTAGTTTTTTGGAAAATCAAGCAATAGAGGAGTAAGCGGCTTCGGCGTTTTCATGAATACGAGTTTGGACATGAACATCGAATTATTCAGATAACTAGCAACCCGAATCGGACGTTTACCATTGATGAGGCGTAGATCAATACCGACTTTGACAATGTTCGTTGTTTACGTACCAACATCGATCTATGACGATGACGAGGTTGAAGTGATCTATGTGGACTGGAGTTTTACAGGAGAAAGCATACATTCTTTAAAGCTACCATGACGGTTCATAGAAACTAGGAATTCTAGAAGCACTTCTCTTAACACAGGAGTGTCAGTCTACTTGTAGGCATCAAATAAAAAGCTAACTGTATGTTTATTCAACATTCTTACTTTAGTGCTGTGAAAGCTGAGAGTTCAAAAGTAATCCGAAGTATTTTTCTTCATTAACACTCAAACCGATAAGCTATCCTCGAATTGCACCAGCTGAAGGAGATCGCGAACTAACGTCCAAACTTGCGAATCAATGGAGACAGGCGATACGAAGACATCTTAAGGAGAGAAGAGCAGCAGTTATGGTCTAAGCTGTAGAGGCTGGAAAAAGCATTCGCAAAGTCCATCGAAGCTTCACCAGTTACGAAATCAAGATGAGTACATTCCAACGCCAGAAGGAACACTTATAGCAACAGCGACGAGATTCTAGCTGGATCATCTGTCCAAAATTATTCACCGCCACTCTAGAAAACGTTATGCGAGTAGTGGAATGAGACAATACTTACTTACTTGATATTTGAACGGCCGTCCTCACTGATTGTGCGGGCACCAGCAGAATCAATATTTTTTCAGGGACTTGCTGGATAAGCCATTTTGGTTCCTTGGAATTTCGAGTTCAACCTGGCCAAAGTCTGCTCCAGATCTTCACCACCACAGGCAGTCGCAGCCGTTGTTGATCAGAAGAAGATTTGCCACCATGAGACTTTCATGCCAGGTCGGTGGTGGATCCTGGTATTTGTTTACTCTTAGCAAGGCTTCCAGCTGCAAACGTCGTTCTCCTTCTCAACTTGAAAGACCCTGCCGCGGGAACAAATTTTCCCGCTGTAAATCGCAATCCGACACCCAGGAACACCTCCCAGCCACGATGAAGCGGTAAGCCGTTGGGAGGAATGAGACAACAAAGGGAAAAAGGAAAAAGCTCTCGGCGTTCATCAATGTCTGATGGATGCGCCATGCATCCGACTTTGTTAAGTATCGGTGAAGGTGACTGAATGTATATCTGGCTTTTACAACGACTCGCGGTGGCTTACCGATGTATCGAGCCAATGCTGCTATCATTCCAGACAAGTCTGGTACCAATTTGCCGACCACAGAGAGATGGAAGCCTTGGTGGGCCATGGGAACGGAGATCGATTCTACGTGTGCGTCACAGTGCCTCCTCCAACCACTGCCCCTCACGCGTTCTATGAGACAATAAGGGAGTGAAGATCAATGATGGGAAATTTCATCATCTTCGTTTCGCCGATGACATCGTCTCTATAACCCCAAACATTAACCAAGCGGAACGAATGCTTGCCGGCCTTAATAAAGCATGTGGAAAGACTGCTTTTGGACTAAATCTTACAAAAACGACGTTTATGAGGACAGGATTAGCTTTGAATTCCCTCCTGTCGCTCATTCGAATGAATATATCCGTATGCTACAGCTTCGTTCATCTAGGTCGGAAATCAGCATGATGAACGATTTAGCCCCAGAATTGAGCAGGAGGAAGCGAGCTGCTTGGAGGGCTTCCAAAAGCATCTAGTACGTGGCGAGGAAAATGAAGAGGCTCCGCCTTCATGTGCACCTTTCGAATGTATGATTCCTCCTAGCTTAACGTATGCGTCAGAAGCCTGGTCGCTAAGTAAGCAGGATAAAGAATTAGCCAGCGTTATAGAACTCGTAACGGAAAAGGCTGTCTTACGGCGTTGTGCCGTGGTAGAGTAGGAGTTGTTCTATGCTCCAAAACGTCGAAAATCAAGTGGACTGCATCGTGATACCTCGGAAGAACAAGCGATAGAAATGAAAAGTCAATGGTTGGATTTCTGGAAATGCTCAATGTACTGCAGAAAGGCCACCGATTCGGTGGTCAGAGTTCTCCACAAGAAAGCCTGGAAGGAAGATATCGTACTCAACGAGTCCCTACAGCGAGCAAAACCCAATACGCGATATGGGGAAATGAAAAACTTACTTGCATCCGCTGGAGTCACCAGACCATCGAAGGGATAAGGTGATAGTGGTGGTTGTTTAACCTATAATCACATTGAACACATCTCTGCACACTCACCGCTTTCCATGAGGTTTCCACTGAGTATGTCGCGTGAAGACCAACTGCATAGAATCCACATGGAAGCGTAATGTGCCTTTCCCATTAGAATAAGAAGCTTATATTTAACCCAATATCACGCGTAATAGTGAGGCATTCTTCCTTGTGGTTCATTTTCGGATTTCTGGAGTTAATCCAGAACGCCTCGAGTGTTTGCACGCTTGTATTCTGGATTCCTGTGCGAGGATCTCTGCACGCCTTACAGGAGATCAGGTAAACTGTACCCGAGCTCATGCAATTACCATCTCTACCATTAGAGCAAATTATGCAATTTTGCGTTGCACACAGACGGTCACATGGGCGCTTGCGAACTAGCTGGCTCCTAAGATTACCCGGTGACATTTCAACTACGTTTACTGGATTTATTAGACCCGCCCTTCTTAAGCAGCGTTTTATAGCTGCACTTACATCATTCGAGATGAAGGGTAGGATGAGCAGAATAAGGGAAGGTCTATCCTACCCTTCACCTTAAGTCATATAAGTGCAACTATAAAATGCTGCTTAAGAAAGGCGGGTCTAGAGAATTCGGTAGACGTAGTTGAAATACCACCGAGTAATCTTGGGCGCAAGCTAGTTCGTAACCGCCTATGTAACCGTCTATGTGTAACGCATAATTGCATAATTTGCCCTGATGGTAGAGACGGTGATTGCATGAGCTCGGGTACAGTTGATCTGATCTCCTGCAATGCGTGCGAGACGAATACATTGGCGAAACGGGCAGACCCTTCTGTGTTCGCATAAAAGAACACCTATTCGGCAAACGTAACCAAGTACCCCACTAGGCATGCATAGGACCCAGTGACATAACAGGGAGGGCTTTGAGGGCCATAACAGGGAACAAGTACGCGTCACGATCCTCACACAGGAATCGAGATCACAAGCGCGCAAGACTCCCGAGGCGTTCTGGATTAATTCCAGAAATCCGAAAATGACCACAGGAAGGAATGCCTCATTATCACACGTAATATTAGGCAATATATAAGCCTCTTATTCTGATGGGAGGGGCACATTACGCTTCCATGTGAATCTTATGCGGTTGGTCTTCACGCGACACACTCAGTGGAAGCCTCACAGAAAGCGGTGAGTGTGCAAAGTTGTGTTCAATGTGATTGAAATCTTGGTTTGGAGTTTCTTTGTTTGGTTATGGAGGCGTCTGGCCGAGTGGATTGCTATCAACTTGACCCTTCCAAGCTCTGAAGAAGGCGAAATCCGCAGAAACGTCAGATTATTCGTGAATAAAGAATAAAAATAACACCACGCCTTTGTTCAACAAGAATGCGGAGAATTGGTAGATCAATGCCGAGGTTAATAGAAAGTCTGTCGTGGGAGTTACTTTGTCGTATCGTTCTAGGGTGTGCATGTTATAAATGAAGGATAAAGCTCCCGGCGTTGATGCGCTATGCATTCGACTTCATTAAGCATCGTTAGAGGCGACTGAATGCGTATCTGGCCTATACAGTCGCGATGGCCTACCGTTGTATTGAGCCAGTGGTGCTCCCACCCGAGTCAGGTCTGGCATCAATTTGCCGTCTCCGAAAGGATGGAAAACGTGTTGAGTCTGCGGTGCAAGATAGAAACCATGTATATTTCAGTTAATGCATGGTATACATACTACTATTTACTGTGTGTTAGTAAGAGCGACCACACAAACATTTCTCTCAGCATTTTGAGCAGTTCTAGAACTTATCTAGTATCTATTTTGGTGATTTTTAAACTCACACTTTCCATCAGATAAATGCGACAGTTTATAGTGGTTGAAAATGGGAGAAATTTCGGTAGCCAGTCAAATAGGGCGTGTGTAGCGCAGTGGCTAGTGGTGTCCTCCAATACCATGTTTCTCTCGATCCCACACCCAGGGCTCACGAAGCCTTCTATCTCTTCTGAATCGGTCAACTGGTACAAGGCTAGTCTAGTAGGACGTCGACACTGATTTGATGCATCATAAGTCATTTTACTGGGCCAGTAATGAGTTAAGTTACCTCTATCGATTGTTGGTGCATTTGAATGCATGACGCATTCCTCAGAGATTAAGACCAAGAGCTTTAGTTATCCTCTAACCATTCAATTTACCGGTCACTGAACTCGTTCAAAAACAGTTTTTGTACACTTTATGTACGCTATGAAGGTTTTTTGAAACAGCCGTCACAAAGTCATTGCGAGGACAAAGTATTGAATGGCTAGAAAAAATCGCAGCAAAAATCCGTACTTGGGAAAATAAACTGCTGGAAAAAGCATTTTATACATGAGACATCTCGGCTATTTCTACGAGAAATGCGAACCTCATATATGATGCATCTTCGTGCCAATGATTTGTGGTTGTTTTCTTGATTAATAGGTTATCCTTTAGGTTATGTCAGGGTTGGAAATCAATCTGGTCGGATATGCATACCGACCCGAACCGCACACATTGTTTTCTCACCAAGTAGCCGACGTCTACTCATCCAACGCTCCCAGTGCTGTTTTTTGGGGTTGGTGATTTAACCTGCCGGTTCCTTCATTTATACGTATTGATAGAAAAAAACCAAAATATTGGCTTTTCCACTTAAACACTAAGGAAAAACACTTTGTTGTTGCAACCGTTAAAGTGCTCTGGAGGGCAAAAATCGATTTCATCAAATTTTGCAAGGTTGGGAAACGCAATTCAGTGTAAATACTTTCAGTACCACAAGAGCCCTATATTGTGATTTTTTTTGTTTATCTTGTCCTTTTCCCTAATGAGAACTGTTTTCTAATAAAAAGGTATGTATTGGGATAAAAAAGTAGACCGTTGCTTAATTTCGAACACCATTACCCCTTTTGCTGTGATAATTTCCGTAGAACTTAAAGTGGAACGAAGTTTCAACAACTGTTCTCGATTTTAGTGCTTTTCTCTATCGCCATGGTGTTCGCATTTGCTGTAGTTATTGCTCTGTTCGGAGTTTGTGTGAGTTCGCCTTGCTTTATTTTTGCAAATTTGGTTTCTTGTAAGCAAAAAAAATCGCAATTTTCAATTTGTTTTCCGAATAGATATTTATTCCCGATGATGGATTATGACGATTGACGGTGTTCCCACCTGTGCTAGAAACAATGCGCTATACAGCGTCGAAGGGTTCTTCTCGCAATAAGATCACCCATAACTCAAATTTCAAATTTGAGCCAAATTCGAATAGAGGAACCATAATAGATTGCTTCCACCCTGAAAGAAATGCGAAGATGAGAGTAATTTTACTTTCGATCCAAAAGGCGTCTAACTGCAAATGGAGGCGACATGGAAACGCCTTGTGATGTGTTTCTGTTAACTTGAAAGAAAAATTTTTTACCGACCTAGCAGCATAACGCTGAAATGGAAATTTGTGTACCACTAGTAAAATTTTTTTCAAAGATTAGCCATGAAAGTATATAAATGATTTATCAATAATTCTTCGTGGTCGTCGGTTCTAACCATCGCACTGAGCTAAACAAACTCTTCTCTATTAGGTAAGGAAATTGCTGCTAGATCTCTCTGGAAACGTTGAACTACTGATTTTATACAATGATATTTGCAAAAAGTTATTGGATAGGTTGAGCACGAATTAAGTCACCTATAGTGTTATTGAGTTCAATGAATGGGGTGTATCTCAGTGATGATCAACCCTAAACGCTTTACGCTTTCCTGCTCTAAGTTCGCATTGGGAAAGTGGCCTCCCACTTTTTATGGTCTCAGTGTGGCTTCAGATTGTTCTTCCTCACTAGCCTGCTGAATAGTTTTTTTAAATTCATACGTGACCCATCTTTACATCATTCGTGTCCCATCACTTCATGCATCTATTTCGTTTCCTCCTAGCCATCTTCCACGAAGGTTTTTGGAATTTTCATGTCGGAGTTCAGCTGTTTTTTGAGGATTATTCTATTCTTTATGAAAGTTGTTGAATGATGCACGAGCTTATTCCTTCTCGAGATCTAGGATAGCTGTGCTTAGTCGTTCCTGAGTGGATTTCATGGAAAGACTTGAGCCCATACAAGTTGGATAGAAATTTGCCGACCCTAGGGAACATGAGAAGTCTGGAGAGTCGGTCGCTTTTGATGACGCTGTCACGCCCCTGTGCTAGACGTCCCCTGCTGAACATGGTCATTAATTGATTTCGAGAAAAATCACTGAAGCAGTGTAGTTCCATTTTTCAACTATAAAGCTAAGTTAGGAGCTCTGAGGTAAACGGATGCTTAAAGAGTTAAATCCTATTGAAAGAAAAAAATACGGCCGACGATTGCCTTGTTGAAATGGCAAAATGCCACTGTAATGAAATTTGTGCCGATACTCATACGAATTATAAAAATGTACTGATTTCGCCTGTCTGAACTGAGAGACAGGCGAAACGAAGGACCCACATGGTGTGATGGTGAACGCGTTACTCCCCGGAAAGGACAATAGCGCGTTCGTTCTCCACCGCATACACCTGCGGTCCGGAGTTTTGCAAATATCTCAGCATCATTGAAATTATGTTACAATATTCTCTGGTTGTTCATTTACGACGCTTTTTTGCTCATATCTCAACATCATTATGGTTGTATTTCACATAGTACGCTCTAATGAAAAGAATGATAGACAATAAATAAAATTTAAATATTACGAAGATTTAACTGTGAACACTTACTACTAGTGAAG